TGTATAAAGTAATTTTAATAACATGTAGATAAATAATATCGATTTTATGATTTTCCCTAAAAGTTTTACCTCATTTTGTAAACAAACCTTACGTGATAGAAACTACATACAAATCAGTTATTAAAACTAAAACATTAAAAAAAAAATGTCTTAAAGTTGCGTAAAACAAAGCGTTTGCCTCCTCCGTGGCTCAATAACGAGATCAGAGATCTTATGCGTAAACGCAACGTGGCTAAGGTCCTTCTTCGCCGAAACGCTTCCTATATTAATAGAGAAAACTACCGCGTTCTACAGAACCTCTGTAACCACCGATGCAGAAATGCCAAAAAACTTACATTTATCAGAAGTTATCTTATACAACACTAAAAACGTTTTGGAAGACCATGCGTTCTCTTGGCGTTATTGAAACTCCTTCCTCCCATAGCTTTAATTGTAATTCTTTTCATTACTCTTGACGAGTCAATCAAGAAATTTACATTGCTCACTATCAGTGGTTCTGCTCTCCCCAATTGTCGGTTTTCCTTCACCATGTTAGATGAGTCTTAGGTTAGGGACGCTCTTGCAAAAACGCGCTCTACAAGTGTCGGTGCTGACGATGTTAGTGTTAGGCAACTCCTTCCCATCTTGCACATAATTACTCCACCATTGCTTCATATCGTTAATTTGTCTAGAGAGTCTTCGACCTTTCCTGCAATTTGGAAACAGACCCAAGATTAAGTGCCCTACTCGCCTAAGTGATTTTCGGCCAATATCGATACTTTCCGTATTATCTAAGGCACTTAAACGCTTAGTGTACAATCAAGCGCAGGATTACCTTGATGAGCATAAACTAATTACAGACTATCAATCTGGTTTCAGACCAGGCCACAGTACCACATCGGCACTCATCAAGGTTACTGATGATATGAAGCGTAACTGTGACGATCCACGAATAACCTTGTTAGTTTACCTGGGCTTTAGCAAAGCATTTGATGCTGTAGACCAGAGGTCGGCAACAGGCGGACCGCGGTCCGTATACGGACCGGGGAAGTTCGAATCTCGGACCGCCAAATATTCTTAAATACAGCTTGTCAAATCTAGGAAGAGACGTGGAAATGTAAGAAATAAGAACCGCCTTCGATGCGTAGTAATCCGTTAAGTCACACTCCTCGCAAACTTCATTTTTACGAAGTATTTGGAGGTGTTCACTTCGAATGACCTGCATAGGAAAATAATTATTCCATGAGCGTGCAGTCGCTGCGTATGGTCCATCCTCTTTGCTCCGAATGCGATCTCACTCCCCTCAGTGCGCAACTCGCTATCCGTTATCTGGCTAATAAAGGAAGAAGTAACCTCCTTCTTGCAAACCTTGGATACGCAGGGAGCAAAGAAGCACTTAGAGTTCATAACAAACCAGCGTAATATGCTAACTGTGGCTTTTCTGAAGGATATTCTGAAATATTTAAATGCGCTCAACATAGAGTTACAAGGGAATGGGAAATTAATATGTGATCTGATACAAAGCGTGTCTGCTTTTCGTCGTAAGCTAGATATTTTTGAAAAAGATATTGCAAGGCACGAATTTATTCATTTCCCAACAATTCTTGAGTATAAAAAAGAGAACTCTGAAGAAGACGTTGCAGTGTTTGTAAGATTTCTGTCCGATCTAAGGGACGAATTTGCTACAAGATTTCAAGACTTTGCAGAAATTGAAAAGCTGTCTCAATTCCTAAAATTTCCTTATCAAGTTGATGCATCGGCAGAATGGACTGATGTGGCTGCTAAGTTGTTCAGCGTTTCAAAGTCTTCACTTCAAGTGGAGATAATCGACTTGTAAGAAGATATTTCTTTGCAAATCTATAAAACTGTATCCACTGAAGAATTTTGGGGTAAACATGTTTCAGAAAAATATGAAAATTGTAAGAAAGTAGCTATCAATCTGGCCACTATGTTTGGTTCGACATATATATGCGAATCGTCGTTCTCGAAAATGAATTTTTCGAAGAACACATATCGGTCAAGGTTGACGGACGACCACCTCGAAGACATACTTCGCATTTGCTGTACCCCTCGTACACTGAACTTTAAAAAACTGGCCCAAGACCGTCGTTGTAATTTCTCACATTGAATATATTACAATATTAACTGAGAACTATTTGTTTTACTTGGTTTACCCTTTTTTTGGAAACTAACTCGACTTGAAAACAAAATAAAAAACAGTACCTTTTAATTATTAGCTTTTTTCTGGACCTCCATAAAAAAATTTACACCGAATCCGGACTCCACTGAAAACTACTTGCCGACCCCTGCTGTAGACCATAGCCTACTGGTGCCGTCTCTATTTGCTATGGGCTTTGCCCCTGAGCGCGTTACTTGGTTTAGGTCATACCTTCCTCAACGTTCCTTTTGTGTGCGTGACACATCATCTTCTTCTGTGTTTCAAAGTCATAGTGGGGTGCCTCAGGGGAGTGTATTGGTCCAATACTCTTTTCAATTTTTATAAACAGTGTTACCAAATTCATTTCATGCAATTATCATTTATATGCGGATGATCTTCAAATCAACAAATTACATCAACAACTGTGAATGAGCTCCCGGTATCCATGGTGCGACTTAATGATGATCTGTCCAGGACGAAACGTTTTGGCCTGAGTTTGAATATTGCCAAGACGCAAGCTATGGCATTCGGTTCAAAACCTTTACTTGCAAAATTTTACTCTTTCAATGATACGCAACTGATACTTGGTGGCAATGTTATACATTTCACCAACACGGTCATAAACTTGGGGATGACAATGGACTCAGCGCTGTCAAATTCAGTCTGTCTATAGGAAGGTATATTTTTGTTTTCATTCTTTGCGTAAACTTGATTGATTCCTTCCCCTTGCTCTCCGTCGTAATCTTTGTTACTCATCAATACTGCTCCACATAGATTATACTGATGCGGTGTATCCCGACCTGGTAATTACCCTCCATAACAAATTGCAAAGATTGCAGAACAATTGTTTACGCTTATTTTTTACCTGGGTAACTAGACCATGTTACGCAATATCGTGATTACCTTCGAATGTTGACTGTCGAAAAGTGCAGATTCTCCCGTATACTGACTACACTATATAAGACACTTTCTTCTCGGACCCAAACAAATTTATTTTGTGAAAACGTAATGGTAATAATTGGAAATAATGGAAAAAATCAGACTAGTTGCCGGAATTGTCCACCTTGTGATTCGACACACGCTTCCACTCTCCGAGCTGAAGATCTTATTCTTTCAAAAATCCTGCGCACAACCAGTGGTACTTTATCTAACAAGGTGTTCAAATCATTCATTAAAAAATTAAGCTAAGACTAGCCATTTAGTCTATTTGGTAGTCTAAAAGGACCAATGAACGTTAATTGAAAAATCATGCTAAAAATTTATTATTAGAATGGCGTGATAATTTTCATCGCTCCATAAATGATTATTGTGGAAGTTAACTATTCCTCGTCTCGTAAACTAGGCTTCATCTGTGAATATGATATTCGTGGAGAAATTGGGATTCTCTGCAAGTTTGCCAAGCAGTCATAGTGACCATTTATTCTTGGTGGGTTATCTTGCGGTAGTAAGTGTTGAAAGTAATAAGAATGCAATTGTTGTTCATGAAGTGTTCTCCATTCAGATGACTGATACTTAACATATTATTTTCTATTGCTCTCAGATTCCGCAGTTCTAGTATAACGCCGTCGTCCAGAATTAATTTTGGTTGGTTTTCCTGCTTCTCTTAATCTTCTATCGATATTATCAAACATTTGCCGATTTGGTGTTCTTCATGCAGCAAACATTTCCTTGTATCGCCTAAATGCATCACGTGAAAAGAAATTCGCAACCCCATAACATAGATGCATATTGAAATGAATATTCGTACCTTAATTAATAGTAATTCTTACTGTTATCGAAATACAAGTAATTGCAAAATATCCGTAAAAATGACAAAAAGTATTAAAGAATTGGTTTAACAAATTTTCTACAAACGCGTTTTTCTTAAAAACTGCTGCTTTAATCAAAATTTTGTAAGAGACCAATTTGATAGATATTTGATCATTTTACACAAAAATACTGCCCGTTTGACAAAATTAGCAGTGACGTAGAAAGTAGAAGTACGAAGGCTTTCCCGGCCGGTTTGAATTAAACTAAAATTAGAACTAAAACTAGAAACTTTCGGGTTTTGCCGTGCGTCTTTCAAGAAAAGGTTTGACGTTTCAGATGCCATGTTGCAACCTTCTCAAACTGGTTCGAAGTGACGCACAAAACCCGAAAGTTTCTAGTGTTAGTTCTAATTTTAGTTTAACGTAGAAAGTATTAAAAAAAAGGGTTTTTTTTATTGCAGATTAAGAAACTTTGACGCCCTATGCCTAAATATTTAAAAAAAACGGGGTTTTTATTGCAGATTAAGGAACTTCGAGACTATGTATATTAAGACTATTCATCTTAATTTTGCATGTATTACCAGCTCTAGAAGTCTGTCAGCGGTTTTTTGAATCATCCTGTATGTTGCTCTTGTATTAACTATGTGGCAATAAACTTATTATTAATAAAACAATTTAAAAAAAAATTTTTGTTGCAGGCCTGTGTTATTTGTCTTGAGGAATAAATCTCCAAGTTTATGTGTATAGGTTGAGAATCACCTGTAGAATGGATTTTGATAAATTTAGATTAATAAGACGAAAATAAAATTCTTTATACATACGGGGGCCATACATTGAAAAAGAAGTTGATAGTTATTAAACAGTTTGTTAAACTTTGGTATAACTGGTAACAACAGGTTTTTCCAATATTAAACGTCTTCTTATTGATTCCATGAAACATTTCCCTTTAATATTGAAATCAATTCGTACCAATTTTTTTTTTTCATCATTTCATCGCTTTTTTGTCCTTTCTCTTCTTACCATTTATTGTACGATAAATTTTGTTGCAAAATTTTCCTATTTTCCCTAAATGTGAAAAATCAAAATTCAAACTGAAACAAATAAAACCCCAATAATAATTTTTTTGGTATTTTTTATTTTGATTTATTATTTATTGACCTTAAAAATTAAAAGCACATACTCACATAGTTCTTAAAGGGGGGATTTCGAGGGGGGTTACCGCAGCAGGCGGGTCTTAATAAGATTCAGAGAGCGAAATCGCGATTAATTACGGTCAATCGGTTTCGTGCTCATTCACATTCGTTCAATCCTAAAAATTATAATGAATAAAAAAACAAGGAGAAACGATAAGACGCGTGTCGTCGAGGGGAATAAGACCTCGCCGGTTGCGGCAACAACCGAACGTACCTAAAATTATAGAAATACGAGTTATACAAGAGGTCGAAGGTCGATCGCCGTCCCCCAAATAAAAAATAAATCGTGCGTCGCGGCTATGGGGAGTCCAAACTGGCGAACGTCCTAACATCCCCAAAGTTTCCCCAAATTTACGGGGATTAGATGATGGATATGAACCAATGGTTTGTTTGTTGGTGGTGATAAGACCGAAATTCGGACGAGCGGGTCCGATTGGGTCAAAATAAAACGTGTGTTTTTCTCTTTTTATTCTTAACTAATCGTTTTATAAGACAATAACAAAAAGAAACAAGAAACGATTAAAGGAGTTATGTAAATCACAATGACACGTTTCTTTTAATTCATTTTCGGTTGTTTTAATGCACTGATTATGTATTACGTTATAAGAGGGATAAATTGAAAATAAAATAAAATTAGGTTATTTTTAAGTTAGGTTGTCGATTGCACGTCGAAGAAAAAAATACGATTTTACGAAATGTTAATGACGTGATATCGGTTGCTTATGTTCCAAAGATCCTGTTTTGTATTTTTTATACTGGCCCAACAAAGTCATCATCAAAAAATTAACTAAAAAATATTTATTTTTAATTTGAAAACATAGCCAATATTAAAATACAAAAAAAGAAGAAACAATTAGAAAAATAACATCACAGTTTGTTGCATCAGAAAGCGTCATCTTAACTAAATCTATTTTATTTCTTTTATTATTTAAATACAAGTTGATTCATAATCCTATTCTTTTGAATCCCTGTATATAACAATAAAGATAACGCCATCCCTTTTTTTATTTTACGGACCATAGCAACCGAATTCTCACCAATCTACAACAATAATATTAAACTGCCACTGTTATTTTGGAATGAAAAACTCGTTTAATTTCTTTTTCACTTCTTTATCGACGCGAAAGTCACATGGACTATTTTTTTTTCTAGTTTTTTTTTTAATTTTTTGGATTTCTCAACAAGAGATAGAGACGACGACAAACTGAAAATTAAAAAAAAAAATATTAAAACAGAAGAAACGCAACGAACGGCTATAGAGATTGAGGCACTAAGATACACGAGTTCTTTTTTTAGTGTTTTTTTTTTGTTTAAGAGTAGAAAACTCCAACTTTTTCGCTTGTTCGAAAAGATGACGACCAAAAAAAATATATATAATTAACGAACAAAAAAAAAAGTACATGCACGCGCATTAGACGTTTTTTTCCTTCCGTGTTCCTTTTAACTTAAAAAAAATAATCAGAATGACTCTTCAAAATTGGCACGTGTGATTAACCGTCCTCTTTTGGGGGTGTGAACCAACCTTAAAACAAAAATAATTTTAATAAGATTTTTGATTACTATTGATCCGTTTTTTTTTTTTTTTTTTTTTTTTAATGTTGGTTTGCTTACCATTTTTTTCGTGAATTTGTACAAGTGACTTAAAGCTCTGTTGGGCCCTCGCCAGACTGTATTGTCCTTGGGAGCACACTTTTGGCGCCCCAAATTGGATTCTCGCTTTTCCTTTCACCAGAGTCGCTGAAATTTGCATTATAACGGCTTCTACTGTGTACGCACTCGACCATCCTTGTTTAGTTAATAATTCCATACATATCGCTCCGCCCACCAATACATAACCACCTTAAATTAGATCAACATATTTAATTGTAATGCTTCTAGTGATTTAATAAACAATTTGTTATTACAATAAAATTTTTCCCAAGAATTATTGAGTATGTATCTTATACAGTTGTAAATTATTATACAGTAAATTTCACTTAAGGGGTAATGCTACCTTGCAATTTTTTATTGGCTTAAATGCTTTCTTGACTATTCAACAATGATATTTTTGATAGAAAATTTTTTAAATGGTCCAAAAAGATCGATTTTTTGAGTAGTCACAGAGAAAATCGGCTGATGATGACCTAATGCAAAGGTCGAAACCGGTACCGAGGAAATTTATAAAATAAAGCAGGAAAGAAGTTTTTTAAAGCGTTTTTTTATTATTAATACCTCATTTAAACCTGCAACATGGATGATCTATGAAATTTATTTCTTTTTATTTTGATGTGTATTATACGGAAAACGAATAACCTTTTTATTATTATTATCTGAAGATAGTTATGTTTATGAGTTATGACACTAATTACGACAGTACTTTTGATAACCGTACTCAGTTTATCAAGTTTTCATAACTTTAGCTGAAGTGGTAGTGTGTCGCAAATGCTACAAACTAGTGAAATTCACCGAAGCCAGTAAACAAGGGTTGGGTTTCAAAATTGTGGTTACTTGTGATGAATGTGCCCCTATATCCCCTATATACAGGTGTCCCGTTAAGGGTATGGAGCGGCTGTATCTCGACAACGGTAAGGCCTAGAGGTTTGGGAAATAATCCTTAAAGGCAAAATGGGCAAGAAAAATAGCTGTAAATTATTTTGAAGTTCGTAATTCGACCGATAGGGGACGTAACTGCCATGAAGAAGCATAAAATTCCCGCTATCTCAGAAAGTTAGACGATGAGCTATAACTTGGACAACATCATTTAGTAGCTTGGATAATACCGCACCGCTTTTATTTTGCGATATTTCTCATATCTGTCATAATAAGGGAGGGGGAGGCCAATGCGTTTTCTAATGTTTACATTTTAATATCTCTTGGACCGTTCAACCGATTTGAATATTTTTGGTCTTGTTTGAAAGAGCATTTTATGCTCTTTTAAAAGGTAGTTTCAGTAAGACCGCTTGTTTTAAAACAAATAGGGTAAACACGCTTAAGGTCGACCGCTTCCAGTAGTCGACCATCCGCAACTATAAGTTCAAAAACTAAAAGAGTAATAAAATTTCCTCTTTTAAAATTTGTGTCAATAATTAGTTACCAGTGTCTCTCATCCAAATTACAAGCAAATGAGTAAATAATGATGGTAGTTCTACCATGATTTGTCATTTGAGAAAAGTGTATACCGGGTAGAACGGTTGAACTAAGTAAACCTGGATTTTTACTAAGCATGACGTGTTTCATAAATAAGCATAGAAAATTATTGTAATCGTGTTTTATTAGAATCTGGACATAGACACAATTTTAAATAGAACAGTTTTACTGTTTCTTTGAATAAAGTTGTTAAAAACATAGTACATGTTTTTATTTTCGGATGGTCGAACAAAGGTTTTACAATTAATATAATCTTCCATTAGTCGACCACAGTGGACGACTACTGGAGTATTGTACGAAACGTTTTCCAGTCGTCGACAGCTTCTTAAAATACGTAAAAATTGTTTAAAAAAAAGAACTATTCAAAATCATAAACAGCTCTAAGAAGATGGTTCTCTCTAGTCAAATCTAGTCGATTCAAAGCAGTCAAAACCAAAAATAGAGTGTTCCCAAGAGTGATATTCAGTAACATCTTTAACAGATGCAATTCATAATGGTATGGGAATAAGAGAAGCTTCTCGAAATTTTCAGATTCCCAAAACTAGCCTGATAGACAGGCTTAAGAAAAATGCGGCCTTTGATTATGGCGGGTATCTCAGTCAAAAAGAGGAAAAAAATTATCTTTGCGGCTAAAGCATTTATCTATGACAGAATTCCCCTTGAAGAAGAAAGAATTGTTCAAATCGGTTCAAAACATTGTAAATACATACAAAAGGCGAGTACAATTCAACGACGGTATGCCTGGGGACAAGTGGTTTAAGGCATTTTATAGGCGACAAAATATTGTCTTTCTGGAGCCTAAAATCACGCGCAATAATTACAGAGGAAGCAATACGAAAATGGTCCAGAGAATTGAACCACTTCTACTTACGTTCGTCTACTTTGCCAGACTGATGAAGCATTAGCAATAATATTCATAGGACTTAGTTACGAGGAAGTAGAGTTTAGGAATTGTAAGTGTTCGCTATGCTCCTAATTTTGTCATAAGAATTCAGTTAATTTCTTCAGTAGTGGTTAAGATTCCATTACTTTATACATTTTTTTAAGTTGATTTGTTATGATTATAATTTTTGATTTAATAAATGAGCATGTTTTTGTCAAGACTAAATAAAAAATTAAAACATGAATATTGAATTGATTTTTATAAATAAATTTACTAAAAAAATATTACTATTATGACTGCAGACTAAAGTAGTCACCCTAAAATTTGCTAAATATTAGTGAAAATCGCATCTCGATATCGCCATCCGTTCTCGAATTATAGAAGAAAATGTTAAAAACTGGAGTGCCATCAATTGGATCCAGTTACCTCATCGAGAAAAACAAATCACATAACCATGGTAACAGTAAACATATCATTTACTAACGCAGAAGCGTATGATAGAGCGTATGATGATTTATTTTCAATGTTTGCAATGTGTGCAATGCAATTACGACAAGAAAGACATTTTTCTCTAGAAGTGTTTTTTCGATTGGCTCGGCGATTACGGGAAACTGGCAACGTGTAGCCCATTCACACATCTCTATGAACTCGTAAATGACATTGGTGGGCAATGCGATCCCACATAATCTGGGAACCCCAAAGACAATTGTCCACAAGATTCCTCAAGAGAATAATATGTATCTCCACCACATTGTTTTACATCAGGCCTTAACAGATACCGATTATGATAAGAGACTCAACTATTATCATTGACTTTTAAATATGATTCGGGCAAATCCAAACCATTTATAACAAATGCTATGGATGCAAGAAGCATCTTTCAATAAGGTGGTGTAAACTTGCATAGTATCCATTCTTTGTTCGAGCAAAACCCACATTACTTTCACCCCTTTATCTATGGGGTAGACCTGACTTTTCAAGAAAAACTAATAACCAGGGAAAATATGACAAAATACTAAATGCTATTAGAAACGTGTCCAGGACTGAGACTTAAACAGCGTGTTTTTTCCGTCGAAACTAGATTAAACAAATGCACCGAGGTTTATGGACGGCATTTCGAACATTTGTGAGCTATTTTTGCCAAAAATTTAAGTAATTCTAATTGTTGTGGTTTATTTTGTTTTATTATCATTGTTGATGTTTCATTGATCCGTTTTGTACAAATACTTTTGAACAAGTTCTCAGCTTGGATAAAGTGTCTTTTAAAGGTTCTAGGTAATAGCATTTTTGTGCTCTCTTATTTGTTTGCTAAGGTAACTTCATCCGATTAAGATATACGAATTTTTAACATTTTCTTCTATAATTCGAGAATGGATGGAGTTATCGAGATGCGGTTTTCACTAATATTTAGCAAATTTTATGGTGACTAAGGATCTGTGAAGTAAATAGCACCGTTCCATTTAACTTTTCTTCCAAAATCACAAAAATATGTAATCGCTGCAGATAACGCTATCTAGCTTATTTGTTTTAAACCAAACGGTCTTATTGAAAATATCTTTTAAAAGAGCATAAAATGCTCTTTCAAACAAGACCAAAAATATTCAAATCGGTTGAATGGTCCAAGAGATATTAAAATGTAAACATTAGAAAACGCATTGGCCTCCCCCTCCCTTATTATAACAGATATGAAAAATATCGCGAAACAAAAGCGATGCGGTATTATCCAAGGTACTAAATGATGTTGTCAAAGTAATAGATCATCGTCTAACTTTCTGAGATAGCGGGAATTTTATGTTTCTCTATGTCAGTTACACCCCAGCGGTCGAATTACGAACAAAATAATTTCCAGCTATTTCTCTTGCCCACATTACCTATAAGGATTTTTTCCCAAACCTCTAGTCCCTACCGTTATCGAGATACAGCCGCTCCGTATCCTTAACGGGACATACCGTATATAGTAGACGCCACGAGAGCTGGCAGTAAATCATCGTTTTCCGCTCTTACAAATGCCATACGTAGTTCACAAACCGCTAGAGAGTAATGTGTGTTGGAAAGAGATAGCATTAGTTTAATATGTCTGCTGTACAATTCTAATGGCCACGTCGAAAAAGTACGTCTGTTCTTCTAAGGCATGTCACTTTATAATTATAACCTCAAATCGAAACGTCTTGTGAGCGTTGTCATGAATCTGTTAATGTTTTCACAAGCCGAAAATGTTTTCTTTGAAAGGAAAATCATTAAATAATATCTTTGACATATAACCTCCATTACTAACATAACCTACATTTAAATGTATGTTGTGGTGAAATAATCTAAGTCGTACGTCCATATCTTGATTCATACCATTTTTAAGCGATCTGTCACTGCCAGCTCTCGTGGTTTCTACTATATAAACAGTTGTCCAAAAATTAATAATTAGGATACGAAATTAACAAACGGCTGATTTTTGTCATGCGTTTATTAAACATCGGAATAAATGGAAAAAAAATTTGCGCTTTCATGGATTTGCCGTTATCCGTGTTTCAAAAGAGTTATACCAAATTATCAACACTATTGGCGAGGTATCTGAGACTGCTTGTTCTTTCTCGATGAAAAATGCTAATGGAATCACCGTCTCACTTGATGGATCCTGACGCTAAAGAGGATTCTCATAACTTTTCGGAATTGTTTCGTTGATAGGATGGTACAGTGGAAAATTACTTGCTGTTATGGTGAAAAGTAAATTTTGTAAGGCATGCTTGACATGGAAAAGTAAGAACAAAATCCAAATGTACAGAGTGGGCAAATTTGGGTGTTATTATAGGCTATCTCAGAAACTATATGAGATATGAAAAAAGTAGGCGCCATGTCCCGGTCTCTTTTTTCGAGACTAATCCAATCCCGCAAATACCAAACCTCTATCTTCTTTTGTTTTTAAGTTATAGCCAAAAGGCAAATTTTCATGATTTCAAAAAAAGATCATATTTCGTTTATTTTTCAAATTAGAGAAATGGGGTTGATACGTTCTTAAGACACTTTTTTAAGTAGAATGTACTGCCGTTGAAAAATTTTAAACATACTTGATGATTTTTGAGATATAACACAAAGTTGTATTTTTTTAAATACAAACTATACTTGATTATGATGTTACTGAAAAGAGCATATTTTTAGCTTTCCAATGATGTATCGCATGTATGGTGTATTTGCGGAAAATAAGCGTTAATTTTCAATTCCAAAGTAGTAAGTACTCAAAATTTCGATTATAGTAGGCGGGTCCGACAGTAAATACTGCCTACGGGTAGTTGCTATATGGTTTTGCACGAATATGACAGAATAAAGTTGGTTTTGTGCCAACGAATAAAAACTTTGAATAGTTAATTTAAATTTTTCAGCATCTTAGTTGGCAAGTAAAGTTTGTTTATTAAAAATACAAGAAATGTATTAATTAATGAATAATTAAATATGAACAACTTCAAGAACTAAAAGAAGACTATCATCTTCTTCTAGTAAAATTACTGGTTGTAAGGATAGAACAGTATTAAGGAATGAAATCTTCGGTAGTATTTTCCCAGTTTTCCCCAACCATAAGATTTAGAAGTTTTTTGATATCAGCAATCTTTTGAAATTGGGTAGAGGAAAATTAGGGATCATGAACGGTGAGCGGACTTTCCAATAATATTTCAATGGGAATATGAAGATTTATATATCATCTACAAAGCGAACTCCAATGTATTCTATATTTTATGGTTTTATTCTTAAACGGGAAACTCGTTTCGAAAAATTCATGAATGAAATAATCAGTAAACTCACGTTGCTATAGTAACTAAGTGGCATTTAGCGTTTTCCTTGCCCACTATAATTAAAAATTTGAACTTTAATTTTTCAATATTTTAGAATTGAAAAATAACGCTTATTTTCTGCAAATACACCATGCGTGCGATACATCATTGTAAAGCTAAAAATAGGCTCTTTGCAGTAACATCATAATCAACTATAGTTTGTATTTTAAAAAAATACAACTTTATGTTATATCTCAAAAATTATCAGCTGTGTTTAAAATTTTTCAACGGCGGTATATTCTACTCAAAAAAGTGTCTTAAGAATGTATTAACCCCATTTCTCTAATTTCAAAAATAAACAAAATATGAGCATTTTTTGAAATCGCTAAAATTTGACTTTTTGGTTATAATTTAAAAACAAAAGAAAATAGTAGAAGAAAAGTAGTTACAGGAGATGAAATTAATCACGAACATGATGAACACGGCAATGACAACTGAAATTTTTGAGGGAATAAAACCTATTTACAAAGAGTTGAGCAGCGATGAGTTGCTAACGCGTTGCTTAGGTGGGTTTACTCAAAATTCTAACAAAAGTTTAAACACAATGGTATGGGGTCAATGGCTCTAAAAACTGTTTCCAGTTGCAAAGTTATCCTTGATATTTCCGTAAGTCTTGTAGTAGTTTATTTCAACGGCGGCTACAAAGGAATAATGCAAATTACGAATCAACTTGGTATAACAATTGGACTTAATTGATATAACTTTTGCCCCGAAGCAGATACCACCCGCATCGTGCGATCTAAACGCTGCCTGATTAAAGAGGCAAAAGAAGCTTGTAAAGCAGCTGTATCGTCGAAAAAGGATCAGGAACAGAAGGATGTTAATGTTGAATGTTAACTGTACTGCCCAGGTGTTGTAGATTGAAGATAAGCAATAAAATTCTTTAAAATTTGAATATTTGGATCTTTTAAGGCGTTTTTCTCAAAATGACGTTTTTCGAAACGGGCGACCAACTAGCGGCCAAATTTTTACTGCAGATTTCTAATGATATTCAGGAGTGAAGTAGCTACGTTGGATTTTTTTCAATTGATTAAAATAATAGTATATTAAAAAACAAGTTTCGTAAGACACGTTTGAAATGCACGAATTCAAGTTGAAAAACGAGTGGCGAAACCAAAAGTTTTTTAATGAATGAGTGCTTTAAGTCTTATGAAACGTGTTTTTTATGCTATTTTTTGTAATTCGCGTTTTTATCCTTTTTTTTAACAAAAATAAAATCAATTTTGACAATGTAGGGAAATAGGTATGCAGCAGTTGGTAACACCGTAACACTTGAAAATAGAAATTTGAATTGACAATTAGAAACTCTCAAAACACAAAACGTATTCACCTGAAAAAAATGTTTCATGTACACCTCCCAAAATAAGAGAAATTGCTCAGTTCAATGTCCTCATCATTGTGGACCTTGTATTCGATGCTAAGAACGTGTTTAAACATCCATAGACAAAAATTGTCACATTGACAACTAGAAAAATTAATGACCCAATGTCACCAACTTGAACTGGTTCCATAAAATGTTACTAAAATCTCATTACAGCATCGGATGCTGTAAGGAGTCTCATTACAGCACCCGTTTGAGTACTGTTAGAGCTTTCGTTACCGTCGCGAATTACAAAAAGGGATTTTATAAGCTGATTGTTTAATAACTCGATTTTGTTAAAACTTGTTACAACAAAATGTTTTAAAAAATGGGTAACTTTAGTCCTAATTAAGTTGGAATAACCGACTTAGACTTCAATTAAAGATCATTCTTTGCGGATTATCTATGATTAATTTCGTTTCTTCAATATTTGTTGCATAACAGATATGATTTTTATAATAAAAGGAACTCAACTCAATTTTGTTAAAACTTGTGACAACAAAGTTTTTTAAAAAATTAAGAACTTCAATTATATATCAAACTTTGTGGATTATCTATGATTAATTTCGTTGCTTCAATATTTGTTGCACAAGAGATATGATTTTTATAAGCAAAAGGAACTCAACTCGATTTTGTTAAAACTTGCTACAACAAAATGTTTTAAAAAATTGATAATTTTAGTCGTAATTAAGATGGAATAACCGACTTAGGCTTCAATTAAAGATCAAACTTTGTGGATAATCTATGATTAATTTCGTTTCTTCAATATTTGTTGCTGAAGAGATATGATTTTTATAAGTAAAAGGAACTCAACTAGATTTTGTTAAAACTTGTTACTATATTTTTAAAAAAATTGAAAACTTTAGTCCTAATTACGATGGAATAACCGACTTAGGCTTCAATTAAAGATCAATCTTTGTGCATTATCTATGATTAATTTCGTTTCTTCAATATTTGCTGCAGAAGAGATATAATTTTTATAACTAAAAGGAACTCAACTCAATTTTGTTAAAACTTGTGACAACAAAGTTTTTTTTAAAATTAATAACTTTAGTCCTAATTAAATTGGAATAACCGACTTAGGCTTCAATTATAGATCAAACTTTGTGGACTATCTATGATTAATTTCGTTGCTTCAATATTTGTTGCACAAGAGATATGATTTTTATAAGCAAAAGAAACTCAACTCGATTTTGTTAAAACTTATTACAACAAAATGTTTTAAAAAATTGATAATTTTAGTCGTAATTAAGATGGAATAACCGACTTAGGATTCAATTAAAGATCAATCTTTGTGGATTATCTATGATTAATTTCGTTTCTTCAATATTTGTTGGTCAAGAGATATGATTTTTATAAGTAAAAGGAACTCAACTAGATTTTGTTAAAACTTGTTACAATATTTTTTTAAAAATTGCAAGAGGTCGTGATTTGATGATCCTTGATTTTTACCACATGAAAGAAAGACGCTAAGGATGAATTAATAGAAAAATTAAAAATGAAGCATCTGTTTTAAAAACGCAAATTACAAATAAGATGACAATATCGGAAATCAGGAAATGGGCTTGTATTAAAAATAGAAATACAGTTTTTTAAGCGGACTTATAGTTTTTTAGATAGAATTAGACGACGCGTTATTACCTTTGTCTACTTTATTTTGTTTATGTTAATGTGACACATAAAATTGCTTAATTTTTATGGTTTTTTGAATAATGGTTCCTTTTAGTTCCAATAAAGTAAGTAGTGGAGTAATCAATTCGTAGTTTTACTAACTTTTGCTAGCTGTCAAAATTGTATTCGCTCCAATTTTTATCCTATAAAATATTTGTTTACTTGATGATTGATAGCTATCAATGATATTAAATATCAACCTCAGGATTTATTGTATTCATTATTTAACATTTGTTTAGTTATAATAAAAAGTAGGCGTAATCGATTTTGTATTTTATTAACTTTGCGTAAGTGTTCAAAATTATACATGCTTCAATCCTTATCTTATTATTAGCTAATTGGAACAGCATTTAGCCCTAGTTAATACCTCATTTGAAAGGTTATAAAACAGAGAAGTTTTTAAAATGCTTTGTACACCAAATGTATTATTAAAATTTTGAAATGGTTGCTCATGAAAAACCAATTTGTTTTAGAATTAACTTAAGTCACGAAACACTTTTCATTGCATTTTTAAACAATCGAAATATTTAAAATATTTTTCAACTTAGAATGTGTATTAGAGTGTAGTCTAACCAGAGAAGTCGATATATTTCCAATGAAACTATTACTAATCTCTAAATTCCAATATTTGTAGGATTATGTACTGAAAATGTACAAAAACCAAAAGATTGAAATAATTCCTAAACTATTCACCTTTTTATAAGGCATATTTGGCTTCATCAATTGCAAATGAGTTCTATAATAACGCATTTCACCCTGTATATTGCGAGTTATATGAATTTCCCGGTATGTTGTAAAATATGAAGGACGTCGAGCCCTTTAATATATGATGCTAATCAAGGAACACTCCCTTTCCTCATACTAATCTGTTATATCGAAGTTTTACTATATTTCGAATTTATTATTATTTTTATTTACCTGATATGATGGGATGAACAACTCTAACAAACGGTGGTTCGAATGGATAAGTATCCTTGAATAACATATTGAGTAAAATAGCGTCCTTGCCTTCTTTTTCTTTAAGGAGGGCTAAGTCATGGCTCAAAGGGCTATCGGGGTCTACGGCGAGTAAACGGACGTTCCACTCATACAGTGAATCGTTAACCAATTCAATTTGATACATTTTATTTTTAAAAGTGTCTGAACGATAAATATCCCTAAGCTCTTTCATTAATCGGTCTGTGGCTTGTACTGAACCGGATACAGATCCCTAAAAAAAATAATTAAATCCATCAATAAATACGTTCAATTACTTTGTTTTTAAACATCCAAAGTTGACTAACATTTACCTGTAAATAATCCCTTCTTTGATTCTGTCTGAGACGTTCAAGCGTCGCCAAATGTTCAACTCCCATTTCGTCCGTTTTCGATCGTCCATCTTCCATTTCCATGGCGAGTTCTTCATCTTCGTCACTTTCTTCTGCTTCTTGGTCACTATCTCCTAATTCTGCGTCTGCTTCACTGTCTAATCCTTCATCTTCCATTTGTTCAACACCACTACTTATTCTATTTAATAAAAGACAAAAATTAAATCACAAAATAAATAATAATGAAGAAATGAAAAATGGGTAGCTTAAAAATAAGGCTGAACAATATTTTAAAAAGTAGTAAGGTTTATTTTTAGATCAGTTTCAATCATTTTAGAGAGATAACTTTAAAACAGGTTTTCATAAAATCAATTTTATGTTTTCGCATAAATCAAAGTTTAATTTAAACTTTGATCAATAATTTGAAATATTTGAATTTCTTTTACAAAAAATAAATTCCAGGAATACAAAAATCAATTCAATACAAAATTTTCCAAAATTACTTTGATGAATCATACCTTATCACACTAATAATTTTTTTTCAAACGAAACATAAAACTAATCGGTATTTTTAGACAAAACAAATCGTTTAAGACACGTAAACACTTTTTAAATACTCAAACCTATTTTTAGGTTATTCTTAAATATTTTGATATCCCCAACCGAGATTTCAATTAATTTAACAAGGCTCTAATCATTGCTAATAATATTTGATTAATTCGGTTTGTAATGATTAAAAAAAGATTTTTGTATAGGTATTTGGTATATATTAATTCGGTTTGTAATGATTAAAAAAAGTATTTTGTATAGGTATAGGTTTTTGTAGATAATTGTTTGAATTGAATGAATTCAAACAATTATCTAAGTAATAATGTTTAAAAATAACAAAGTTTACAATAAATTTTCAAACAATCCACCATTGTTTTGTGAGCACAATCGGTTATTCTTTAATGTAATTCCTATTGCTTGTAGTAATATTTTATCAGTTTTGTAAAAATTTTTGGGACAACAAAAGATAAAAAACATTTCTTTATCTGCTGAGAATAATCAAGAGTGTGAGACCACAACTACCATAAAATGTCTCCAAAGGATTTTTATGTACGTTAATTTAAACGAAAATGATGAAGCAGAGGCGGAGAGAAAATTCAGATTAAAATATAATTCGATAAATTAATGATATTTATCGTGTTGTTCTTTTAATAACAACCTAGAATGGGAACACGATTTCGTTTTTAAACCGATAGAAAAGAATTTGATACGTGGTGATACATCGAAAAAAAAATTGGATTGTAAACAATGATACATAAACAATGAAATATACGTGGAATAATTTTATTGGCTTTCACCGAAATTTTAGTGGATTAAAAATTCTTGGTAAAACCACATTAATTGTTTACGATTGCTTTCACAAGTTTGAAGGAACACTTGATAACCAAAAGTAAAAGTTATAATGATAACTTTTACTGCTCACATTTCCCAGAGCATACTTAATAGTAGCTAATCCTTAAAATTTTTGTCGTTGCAATTATGTACATAAGCATTCAAAAAATATCCTTGAAAACTTGGGATATCCTGTATTTTGATTATACGGCATAAATTATTCAATAGCAACGAAAAATAAAGTTTTTAATCCCAGAATTAATACAAAAAATTAAATGGAAGAGAATTTCTGATTTTAGAAAGTGTGTACTCAAACAACATAAGTGATGGCTCATTCAACAGCACTTGTAAAAATTGGGAAGATTTTCGCAAAACATGTTGATAAACGATCTTTATGACGTTAGAGTCGTTGGCAAGTCGCCCCTAACTTTTGTAAACGTCGATCTTATATACTTTGTTTACGCTAGAAAATAAAACATAATTCACATCTGTCAAGTAAGCATTTAAGTTACATATCATTAGTAAATAAACGATATGAACAATAATATAATCTTATCAATATAATAAACACAATTGTGGACTAAAAGATTTAAAAATTTTAAGTTGGTAGTATTTATTTATAAGGAGATCTGATTTGTAGATATTGTTGGAGTGATTCCAAAGTATTAAATCACACCCATTCAGGAATAATACAGGTGAATAAATCAGATGGGTAATATTACATTTAAATGATATATGTTTTTCTTTATTATGTCGAGAAATATTGAGATATGTAACAATAATTTTATATTGAATTCACGAAGAGTTCTGAAAATAACTCAAACCCACATCATATGGATCTATAAATAATGATCATCAACCAAATCTAATCCGATAATTGGAGCTAAATAAAACAACATACCAAACTATCTTATATGTTCTAATCCATATTTTTGGTGAAAAAAACGCATATTGTATTGAATTGCCAAACGGTTTGGCAAAGGTGACCCTTTCTCTCACAATATTAATATCTCACAATTGTTCCTAAATAACAAAACGGACTATTTTGTAACACACACATATTATTCACAAATAACACTTTCAACATAAAAAAAATAAATAACAAGCTATGTATCTTAACGTGAATATAGTTTTAATGATAAGTTTTGGATTGTATTTATTTATTCTAGAAAAATAGATTTATTTCCAATGAAAATTATCAAACATTTTAAGATGACACCAGATTTCAAATTCACATACAGTGTCGCACTTAATTATTGGCACAGCAGTAGTTTTTCGTTTCACGACTGTTTTTAAACCAAATCAAGAAATGGTATTATGTGAAAGTATTTTTTTTATATTTTTAGTAATGTTTTAAATTAAATCAACAAAATTATTGGCACAGTTAAAAATCGAACTATTTTAAAACTACTTTAAACTAAATTAGTATTTCGTGGGTAGCCCTTTTTGTTTGATAACGGCCTCCAAATGTCTTGGCATAAAATGAACCCAATTTTGGGTTAATTTTGTACCACTCCTCCACCAATGCTTGTTTCAGCTCCAACCTGTTAGTAACTGCAAGCTTTTTGACCCGTCTATCCAATTCGATTTTCGTTTAGTTATGCTCAAAAATGATTTGAAGGATTGATGTTAGGTTATGTTTTCAAATTTCTATAAAGTATAACCCCACCAAATTGTTCTAAAGTTGAGTGTCCTTTTAAAAGGACGGTAGCATTTTCTACTACTACATGTAGAATATAGCATCAAAACGTTTATTTTTTCAAGAGACCTTTAAAATTACACAAACTTCTGAAGGAGCTAGAAAATATCGATGACATTGCAGTTCCTCCAACAGGCATTGCTATTTATCCTCACCGAGAACGCAAATGACGATGTTGCAGAATTTGTGGTGGATTCTGATGATGATTTGCCATTATCAACATTTGTCACCGCTCCAAAACAGAACGTGGTAACAAGAACTGCAAATCATATTCTTGAATCAGACAGGACATTGTTGAAAACAATTTCTCTGAATGGAAAGAAATGCTTGGTCCACAGCAACAGCTGACACCACTGGAGTTGTTTCATCTATTTTTTTAACGCAGAAGTAATCAGCTTAATCATAACTTACAGCAATATTTATGTAACTAAAAGAAATTTTATTGGTAATATAACATGAGAAGAACTCCTGTGTTTTTTAGGAATTCTCCTACTAAGTGGTGATACTGGTAATAAACTAGTAGCTACAGCAATGTCCAGAGGCCGTGTCACGTACATAATGAAAGTTTTGCATTGCTGCAACAATGATGAACTCGAAAAAAACGACACTTTTTTAAAGTAAACAAGTTACTGCAGCAAACAACATTTATTGATTTTGCACCGTTTCAAGAAAATCATAGTATAGATGAAGCTATTTTTTTCAGCTTCGAGGCAAGCTGATTAGATGGGGATATTAGTTTTGGGTTGGTGCCACCCGTTTACGATATGTTTTATGGTTTGATCCATATCAAGAAAAATCCACAACTTTACCTGCAGCTTACAAAGATATGGGACTTGGATCCTCCAATATTCAGATGTTTTACAATCTAACTGGACAGGTAGTTCACCTTTTCATCTGTACTTTGACAATTTTTTCTGTAATTGCATTACTTCAAGAACTCAAGCATAGAGGTCTAAAAAGAACCGACACTATCAGAGAAAATTGGACAGACAAATGCCCTGTGCCTACTTCTTCGTCGAAATGATAATAATGTAGTTTCATTTGCATCTAATAAGTAGCTCTAATAGCTCTTACCCTAGCAAAACGATTTTCGCAAAAAGAAAAGAAGCATATTAATGTTGATCAACAAAATATTGTTAACCAATACAATAATAACATGGGCGGTTTTGATCAAAATATTAATTTATTATTAATATTAAAAAGTGGTATTTTCCCCCCTCTCATTTGCCAATGTGTGGAAATGGCGGAGTAAAATGCTTGGCAGCTTCCCCGAATTAGAGGAAGAAAAATTGATCATTTAAGCTTTAGACATATGAACAATAATGATGTTGGCGTTTCCCAAGCTGGTCCCAGCAGGGTAAGTGGTTATCTGTTGTATACTGCTTGCATGTTATTGAATATCTCCCAAAAAATCAACCCTATGATTAAAGGGAAGAAAAGGATACGACATCCAGAATTCTGGAAACGAAACGTTGTAAAAAAGAAGCGTGCATTACGCGATAAACATACAAATCATAAGGGAAAAAAAGTCCCTGAAAGAAGAACAGGCAGCCATGTAACTGTCGTATGAAGCGTTTTGCAAAATTTACACAACAGTTGCAAAGTGACCTTATGAAAAAAACATTTAATGAGCTCGGAAATAAAGACCTTCAGGATGCTGATCTTGCCGAAAGAAGGTCCAAAGAAAAAGGAAGCGGTATTCCCCGGGCTAAATTTTATTCTTACAAAATACGGAATAGAACAAACGATCAAACAGTTTGTAAACGAGCCTTTTGTTTTTTGCATGGTACAACTACCAGCGAACTACATTGCCCTGAACATAACTAGTCCAATAGACAGAAGGGTACCCAGACAAACAGACCAAATAAAATTCCCAATGATATTATTCAACAAATTTAGTTTTTAACGAGATATGAAGGAAAAACAAATCTGGCACTTTCTGATTCTACCATGGAGGTCATTACTTTTGATTTTGAACAGAATTTACTATTACCGCATGTCCCAACCAGAGATGTGTTTTATAAATGTCAACTGTGGGTATTTCCATTTTGCATTCATCAGAGTAGTTCTTTGAAAAGTTTCTTTTACAACTATGATGAAGTTATTAGTTGTTTGCATCATTTTATTAAGACTTCTATAAAGCCAGAGGTTAAAACGCTAAATCCTATCGTGCTCAAAATAAAAATAGCGTTTTAATCCATTTTTGGCATAACATTGACACTGCAAAAACGATTTGTTAAAATTAGACACCACTACCGTGAACCTGGACATAGTTTTTGCCATGCGATCGCAGTTTTGCTGAGGTCGAAAAACAGAAAAGGAAGCTGATATTGCCTAAAGAGTGGATGCAATTAGTAACAAATTCATCTAGGAAGTTTTAAGTACTTCATATAACGCTGGACATGATACTATACTCAAGTATCCTGTCCTGTGTTACAGACTTACTTAGCACGCCGTTTTAAGAAAACCATAACAAATGAACATAAGGAAAAGTTTACCATAATGCTCTATTCTGCCAAGAATTCGTAACTTTCAAGACGAAGATCATCCAATATGATCTTGAAGCTGACAGAAAAGCGTCTTCCATTGAAAGAAAGTAAAATAGCGAACCTAGCAGACCTCGCTAAACAATATGTTCTGGTGATTGACAAGTGGTACTATGAAAGGATTTGTTCTTCAGCAACCCGTTCTGAAGAAAATGCAGTAAAATCTTCTACAGGTGACGTAGGTGACTTCTACTATGAAACGTAGATAGATGAGTAGCTTGAATAGTTTAATGAAATTGTTTAATATCTGCAACTAATTTTGTCATTTTATTATAGGTCCTGTTTTGTAAAAGTGGTGACAAACGATTTGAAAGTTATTTTTAAGTTGACATATAGTTTAATTAATTAACAATTTCAACAGTTGCAAAGTGACCTTATAAAAACATTTAATGAGCTGGGAAATAAAGATCCTGAGGATGCTCATCTTGCCGGTTTGATTAATGTAAAGGACGTCCAAAGAAAAAGGAAGCGGTATTCCCCGGGCCCGATTTTATCCTTACAAAATACGGAATGAAACAAACGATCAAACAGTTTGTAAACGAGCCTTTTGTTCTTTGCATGATAAAACTACCAGCGAACTACATTGCCCTGAACATAGTCCAATAGGCAGAAGGGTACCCAGACAAAGAGACCAAATAAAAATCCCAATGATATTATTCAACAAATACAGAAACACATACGTAGCTTCTCACCAAGAAAATCTCATTACAGTAGAAACGACAATGAAAATCGTCATTTCCTGTCACCTGAACTAAACGTCGCTACCATATGCCAAAATTTGAGCTAGAACAGCATCGCGTAATGGAAGCAAAAGACATCAAACCCTACGTTAGCTAACCCAACCCAAGGTTTGACACATGTCAGAAATGTGACGCCTACGAAAATACATTAAAAAGTTTAACGGATGAACAGGAGAAACTAAAGCTCATAACTGAAAAAAAATCTTGATCTTGCTAAAGCGGATAGTTTTTACCGAGATATGAAGGAAAAACAAAACTGGCACTTTCTGATTTTACCGTGGAGGTCATTACTTTTGATTTTGAACAGAATTTGTGTTTTATAAATGTCAACTGTGGGTATTTCCATTTTGCATTCATCATGTATGATGAAGTCATTAGTTGTTTGCATCATTTTATTAAGACTTCTATAAAGCCAGAGGTTAAAATGCTATAGGTGTTCACTGACAAATGCACTGCTTAAAATAAAAGTAGCGTTTTAATCCATTTTTGGCAAACATTGACACTGTAAAAACGATTTGTTAAAATTAGACACCAATACCCTGAATCCCTTTGCCATGCGATCGCAGTTTTTTTGCTTAGGTCGAAAAACAGAAAAGGAAGCAGCAATAGTAAAAAATTCATCCAGGAAGTTTGAAGTACTTCATGTAACACAGGACATGATACTTGACTATAAGACTTACTTAGCACCCCGTTGTAAGAAAACCATAACAAATGGGCGTAAGGAAAAGTTTACCATTTCGATGTATTGAATAATAGAGGTCGATTCAGCCAGTGCCAATACACTAAAATGTTTTGAGACCCCTAATGCTCTATTCTGCCAAGAATTCGTAACTTTCAAGACGAAGATCATCTCACATGATCTTGAAGTTGCCAGAAAAGCATGTAATGAACTACTTTAATTGAAAGAAAGTAAAATAGCGAACCTATCGGATCTCGCTAAATAAGTATGTTCTGGCGAATGACAAGTGGTACTATGAAGGAATTTGTTCTTCAGCAACCCGTTCTGAAGAAAATGCAGTAAAATTTTCTACAGGTGACAATGAAACGTAGATAAGTGAGTAGGTTGGATATTGTATAATATCTGCAAATAATTTTGTCATTTTATAGGTCCTGTTTTGTAAGAGTGATAAGAAACGATTTGAGAAGTTATTTTTAAATTGACATGTCATGTAATTTAATTAATTAACAATTTCCAATCTTTTTTTGTAACTTTTGCATACCTTTTTTATTAAATATGAAAAAACTGATAGTGTGTGGCAAAAACCAGGTAGCTCTATTTCAGAATTTTAAAAAAGAAATGAAATTGTGACGAGTATTCTCATACAAAACTAAGTCAAAAATATCAATGACAACATTTTCTAACAATAACGTAATCAAAATCCAAATTGGAATTATATTTTCCTTTAAAAACACTTTTTTGGTGATTCCTAAAAGTTTACTAAAATGGAGGTACCTCATGTTTTTGCACCCAGCCCTTGATTTGTTAATTTGGTTTAAAAACAGCCATAAAAGGATTGCTGTGCCAATAATTAAGTGTGGCACTGTACAATATGATACAAGTTAATATAAGACAAGGATATAAGATGCAACAAATACATTACATCTTATAAAATCATTACTTTAAGAGACTTGTCCTCCTTTTTCAAAGAAAACCTTTCACAACTACAAACATGTTTGGTTTGCAAAATATTTTAAGGAAGTCCATAAAATTTGCTTTGGTGAATTTGAAATTAGAACATGAAATTCCTTTAGATTACAATGATTAGATTCTTTAAATAGCCAATCACACAGGAAAATACAATTCTTTTTATATAGCATTTTTAAGGAAACTATTCCTTTTATCAGACTTAATTATATGAAATATGTGGTATTCAGATATTTGGGGTTATTAACACAAAGCATTAAACATATAATAAAACACAGAATTTAAGTTTATTGATTAATTTTGAATAATTCTTACCTGTTTGCCGTTTGCGGATTTGGTATAGTCAGTCTATGAATATCAGGCGGTTCTGGTACAGCATGCAACCTACACAGTTCTCGTAAAAGTATAGCAACCTGATGAAGTACATGATTATCCAATCCTTCTGTGTTACTCAAAATTTGCACTGCATTAGTAATGCTGGTCTCTTCCGAGTCAGCAAACCAAACTGGGGGTACCGCTGGGTAAGTTTCCTATTGAAAGAAAGTAAATTAAAATGAAAAATATGTAAAAAAAATAAACAACTTGTATTAACCATAAATGAATTAGAAAATAAAACGATTCCAATTCGATTAGATGGTTTTATTTACTTTTGCACGTGTACAAGCAACCTCTCAGCTGTCTGACATGCTACAATACGTCAAATAATTAAAAAAAAAAGTCCAAGACAATACGTTTTGGAGTTTCTTTGTTGGGAAATGGCGTTACTATGGATGAATGTAAAAGTTGGAAAGAAATGTTTCTTAATTTTAAAATACGATTAACTTACTGTGATATTCGCGTGGATTTCATATCGTTTGCCATTTTTCCCAACGAACCTGCAACTCAGCTCGTCAACACTGGCGGACACGATCTGAAACCTATCATGGTTTTTCGGGAATATCGACTCTAATGTCCTTATCTCTTGCTTGAGAGTATTTAAACAAGCCATAGGTGTCCTTTAAGACGTATTTCCGGGGGCCCGGTAGCACTGCACAAGTCTCGCAAAAAACGACACACTCGTTGGGGCTCTCGACGTTTTATAACTGTTCACTCCCTATATAGATCAAAATGGCCGATTCTGGTCCTCTTTAAAATTGAAACCCGGTCGTGTTCGGTCGGGAGACGTCGTGGCGGCCTCGTGCCGCATGGAATAATAACGGGACTAACAATTTTTCTTCGGCGAGATTATCGGAAAAATCGGGGCCATCGCAACGAAAGAGAAAAAAAACACCGACCCTCAGGAACGATCCGTGCGGTACATCTAGCCGAATTCAGCGAACTGTCGTTTGCGGGTTATACGCGCAAAACCCAGCTAACCTGTCATCCTAATGTCATCCATCACTTGTTTTGTTTACCATCTTCACTACAGTTAAAAGACGTTTTTCATCAAAACAATTCATTATTATGCATATTTAAAAGAAAATTTTCACTCCCATCTCAATAAATACCTTAAAAATTAATATTTTAATCAATTATTTCAATTAAATCAATCTAATTTCATTTTTAATTGAAAACAAGTTTACACTATCGCCATCTATTAATGATATATTACATTAAACGTTAAAGTTTTGCTTCAAAACAATTCTTATTTACATTAAATTTAAATAATTTATTTTATATTATAAAAAAAACGTTATTTTAATTGAAATCGTTGCATACAATTTTAAAAAATTCATTTATCAATATATTAATTATTCAAATCAATTACTTGTTTATAGAGGGCGCTTTCTTTCTTTTTTAATTTAAAATAAATTACATATTAATAAAACTTTCTAAGTTTTAGTAATTTTTAAATATTATATTTAAACTTGGTTAATTATTTTGAGTAACGAATTAAAGCAGAAATGAAATTAAATCAAATACATTTTTAGATTATGTGGATAACTGAAGTGTATACAACCAATTTAACGTTTTTCTTTTAACACAATAATTTACGCTTTTATAAATTAGTTATTTTCTCAATACGCGACACAATAAATAAATATTATTTTATTTAATTACTCATAAAATTATAGCCCCATCTAATTATGAACAAAGCGTACTAAGTAACCATTCTGAAGTTGGTTATAAATTGTCACGGGGTGTGGTGAAGTGAGAAACGTTGAGAGGTTATGTGAATTTTTTAAACAATTTTAAATTGGAACAAATATTTTTCAATATGTTAGAGTTAAATCATAGGGCGCACAAAAAGTATTTAAAAAGGTTTTTACAAATGTTACCAGCATACGGCGCTTCATACGATAGCACAAGGTAAATAATATAAATTACTTAGTCATAGAATTTAATCCTAATAAATCGGTGTTATAATCAAAATAAGTTATTCTAGTATTATTAAATGAATTAATTGGTTTCTTTGAAGGGTTGTAATAGCATATTTTTCCATATCTGGATTAGATATCCTACAAGATATTGAAAACTTAACTGAAGATTACAAAAAGAAAATCATTGATTGGGTTTATAGTTTGCAAGTTATTAATGATGAAGGTGAGATATTGTTTTATTATTATTAAGTTAATTATTTAATCATAATCATAACTATTTTAATCTGATAAAGTTAGCTTTGACAATTTTGACGTTTTAACTACCGCCATCTCTTAAATTATTATTGAACTATTTTCAAATAAATTTTTCTTTAAATTTGCAGAGTTAGCAAGTGGATTTCAAGGATCATCATCATTAAATACATTAGAAAATAAAGATAAACCAGCTCCATATAAATGGGGACATGTTGCAAGCACATACACCGCATTATGTATTTTATTAATACTCGGAGATGATTTATCTAGAGTCAATAAACCTTCTTTGTTGAGAAGTTTGAGGTCTTTACAACAACCAAATGGTGTTTTTAGTAGTTTTAAAGAGGGATCAGAAAGCGATATGCGTTTTATTTATTGTGCGGCGTGTATTTGTTATATTTTAGATGATTGGTCAGGTATTGATATTGAGAAAGCTACAAAATACATTCTTAACAGTTTCGTGAGTTATTAACGCTTTATTAAAACTAAAATATGTATAATTTTTTACTTAATTTTAGACTTATGAATCTGCTTTTGCTCAAGGTCCAGATTTAGAAGCACATGGTGGGTCATCATTTTGTGCGATAGCTGCATTATCATTAATGAACAAATTATCCATTTTAAATAAGAAACAAAAAGATTATTTAGTTAGATGGTTGATAATGCGACAGAAATCCGGTTTTCAAGGTCGACCCGATAAAGAAGTCGATACTTGTTACTCATTTTGGATTGGTGCTTCATTAAAAATTTTAAATGCTTTCGATTGTGTTAATTTCGAAGAGAATCGGACGTATATTTTAATGACGCAGGAAGGACTGTACGGTGGTTTTTCCAAATGGGTGAACACGCAAAGTGATCCTTTACATACTTATATGGGATTGGCAGGATTGAGTTTGATGAAGGAAAATGGGTTAAATGAAGTTATGCCCCTATTAAATATTAGTTGTAGGGCTTATAATCATTTAAAAGAGTTGCATAAGAAATGGATGGATTAGATTTATGTAAATAAAATCTTTTTAAGGTTTTCAAAGACTGTTTTAAATTTATTTAGGCTCACAATTTTATATGGAATAAATTAGTTAATAATAATAATAATTTTTATTATTATTTATTGCCTAACAAAGATCAATTACAGGACAATATTACAAGAAAACAAAAAAGAAATAGCACATGCTATAAAACACTCCTACACTATTATTGTTATTTAGTTTTTGTAATTCGCGATCTTATGCTGTAATGAGATTTTAATAACATTTTATAGAACCAGTTCAAGTTGGTGATATTAGGTCATTAATTTTTCTAGTTGTCAATTTGTTTAGCATACTGTTGTTTGTACCTTTGAGAAATCTCCTCTGAATTCTTTCCAATATAAGTCTATAACACACGTATTGTGTTGACCAAATTACAGAGCCATATTCCTATTTGGACCATACAATAGTAAAAAACAGGGACTTGTACACATTGATGTTAGAAAAGGCACGCGAGGTGTGTAAAACGAAACCAAGCAGCCGCCTTGCTGCAAAAGATGCAATATCTTCAATGTGCGGTACAAAAGACAATTTGCAAAAGTAACTCCCAGATCCTTGATTGTAGATAGTTTCTCAAGAAGAACACCTTCTATACAGGGTAATTCAAATTGTACCCCCACCATTGGGATCTCAGAAACTATAAGAGATACAGGAATGGTTAAATGTGGGCAAAATTGCGTATCTTAGCTCATCATTTTTCAACTAAGTTTTTGGATCTAGCCGTTTTAGTTTTTAAAATAATATTTTAAAAATTTAAGTAATTTTGTAATAGTTTTGTAATTTTCTCCGACGTTTCGTTTTCGTGAAACTATAATCAGGTTTTTTTTTTTTAATAATTCAATGTTTTTTAAATGAAATGCATTCTGTGACATATCATTGAAATCAGAATTCATTATCCTATTTTTTGGTGTGAAAATCAAATATGGCGTCCATAAGAAAAAATAAACCTGATGAAACGTCGGAGGAAATTTCTAGTTGTGTCATAACATTTTTCATAAAAAGTTGAAAAATAAAGAAGTTATAGGCAAAAAACGAAAAAGTATTTTTTTTGTTTTTCGGCCAACTTTTAAAAACTAAAACGGCTAGAACCAAAAAGTTAGTTGAAAAATGATCAGCTCTAAGATACGCAACTTTGCCCCCATTTAACCATTTCTGTATCTCTTATGGTTTCTGAGATCCCAATGGTGGGGGTCGAATTTGAATTACCCTGTAGACTTATAAGTTGTCAGGAAAAGTTGACAAAAACTATTGTAATATGTACTGTCAATAGGTACGCAATGAAATTGAGATTTCAAAAAGAAATATGTTTTCTAGAGTGATTGACTTAGCCAACAATAAAATAAAAGCCATTTGGAACATCATAAATACACTCAGGGTAGGTAAGACATCGACTGCTTTTGACTTTTCTGATTTCAAAGATATACAGGGTAAGTTTTTTTCCATGTTTAGTATAGAGATCTTGAAAACTAGCGGAGATAGAAAGATGATTAAATAGGGAAAGAATTGCAGTTGTTTTGTTATATCGTTAGATGCCTATGTCTCCGCTATTATTGATTTTAGGAAAAATGTGTAAAGGAAAAATTTGTAGGGTATTACCTGGTTAATAAAGCAGTCTAACCGATTTTTTTATTTAAGCAATAATTTTTGAGTTCTGACACAAACTTGTAATTTTTCTAATGGAAACCATAGTTGGCCATGACTTTATAAAAAAGGCCTTTTCTCAACTATTCTAATGATATACCACTTGATATAAATATTTGTATTAATAAATAAATTATAGCCATTTATTCTTTCAATTGGAAAACTGTTCAGGTAGTATGCTATGGAAACAATTGATAGACGTTTGGCTATGACAACTTAAGGTATACGTATGTTTCGTTTAGTTTCTAATTAACGTTGATTGAGGTTTTGTAAATTACAGTAAAATTCCCCTAACTCGAATCACTAAGGGAGCGGAAGAAAACTTCGAGTTATGGAAAATTCGAGTTGGAGAGAATCTTCGTGGGTAACATCCATTATACGCAAGTTGAATACTATACTTTATCTACAACTATTTAATTTTGAAAAAACAAACGTATCTATCAATTGTTTCCATAGCATACTACCTGAACAGTTTGCAAATTAAAAGAATAAAAGGCTATAATTTATTTATTAATAAAAATATCCATGTCAAGTGGTATATCATTAGAATCATTGAGAAAAAGCCTTTTTTATAAAGTCATGGCTAACTATGGTTTCCATTAGAAAAATTACAAGTTTGTGTCATAATTCAAAAATTATTGCTTAAATAAAAAAATCTGTTACACTGCTTGTAATACCCTACAAATTTTTCCTTTACACATTTTTCCTAAAATCAATAATAGCGGAGCCATGGGTATCTAACGATATAACAAAAAAACGGCTTTTTCGAGATATTCAGTTAGCATGCATTTCATCCAAAAAACAAAAAGCTCATTAAATTGAGTTCATGAAACTGCAATTCTTTCCCTATTTAATCGTCTCTCTATCTCCGTTAGTTTTCGAGATCTTCATACTAAATATAGAAAAAAACTCACTCTGTAATATAATAATAGCAGAGAAATTTTAAACAAAATAAATGTCTACTTTGCTAATATCTGAAAATGCGGCTGAAAATAATATACAAACAAATATACAGAACACTGTTAAATCGAATATAGCTATAATAAAATCCTATAGATAGACCCTAAAGAAATAAAATCTATTATTATGTCTTTGAATAACACACATATGGTGGGTTATGACATTCCAATCTCTGTTCTAAAAAAGTGCGTTATTAAATTACAGAACCTTTGAGTAGCGCCATAAATTGCTCTTTCAGTTCAGCAATATTTCCGATGGATCTGAAAGAGCTATACACTGAGAGAAATGGATTGTACTATGCACTAAAAATATACTATAAGGTATAATACTTTACTACGAAAAGTGACAGCGAGACGAGATTGTATTCAGTACAATAAATATAATGAATATAATACAATGAATTGCTGCATGTATAATATTTGTTCTATAACACGATTCGTGCAATCTATTTCTTTCAGTGTAGTAAGGCTGATTGATAAGAAAGGAAATAAATCAGATTTTACAAATTACCGGGGAATTGCACTAATTCCTAACATTGCAAAAGTTTTTGAGAAGGTTCTCGTAAAAAGTCTAAAAGATTATGTTACCAAGAACCATATACTTAGCCAGTCCCAAAACGGTTATATATCATATAAATGGCAGATTGGTAGCGAGAGGAATTTTCCAGTTATTAGAACGAATTCAAACTGGAATTAATAAGAACGATCTTACCAATTGTATAATGAATATAATGATGCACCTAACTAAAGCATTTGACAGTGTCCACCATGACATCTTATTGAAAAAGTTGGAAGCTATAGGGATACGAGGACTTCCGCTGGAATGGTTCAGATCTTGCTTGTCAGAAGGAGAACAGCGGGTGGTCTCGTATGATCAAACTGGCGCTAAAGTTACTTCCGACTGGACAAAGGTTCTGTGAGGCGTCCCACAAGGATCAATATTGGGACCTTTCCTCTTTATCCTATACATCAATGATTTACAAATCCTTTTTCCTGATGACCCCACTGTAGTATTAACTACAAAAACTGAGCAACAAATGTCAGAATTGGTTCAGCTCAATCTAGGTAAACTGCAAACTTGGTTTTCAAATAATAACTTACAAAAAATCAAAGGTTATAATATTAGAAACTCCTACAAAAAAAAACGAATTAGATCTAATATTCAAAGGTACAAAACTTACCTGTAAGGAAGAGCTGGTGTTTCTAGGGGTTAAGATTGATCATCAGCTTTCATGGAAACACAATATTAACGATCTTACCATGCAGATAAATAAATCGTGTTACGCGCTATGGACTATTTCGCGGTTGTTATTTTCTGAACGATGCGAGTATGTACTAGGCACCGTTGGGCAATGCATCGCCGATTACAATTATTTTGTGAATTAGAAGCGAAAGTGGCAACCTTAAATTTATGAGGTACTGTGCTTGAAATCCTGACTTTTATTACAGATCAAGGCTCTAATATCAAAAAAGCATTGGAACAATGTTCGCGCATTAATTGTATTGCCCATGTTCTGAACCTGATTTTAACACATACATTCAAGAAAACAGTACTGGAAGAAGTAGCCCCTCGTATTTTACGGTTATTATTATACGGTGTAAATCTTTAGCAGAATATCTTAAACGGAGTGGTATCCGTCAGAGGTTGGACACGACAGTTAGGCAAGAGTACATCTCACGATGGAGCACAAAATTTGACATGTTGCTTTCTATTCGGAAAAATTTTAACACTATTGAAAAAATATTAGAAGAGGCAAAAGAAGAATATCGTCTTCATGGAATTGAAAAATATCTCTTAGATAGGTTGATTCTATTTTTATACTTCTTTAAAACGGCTACATTATTGTTTAAAGCTGACAAAAAGCCAACCATTCATTTAGTGGCAACCACTACTACACATGCGTATTTTGAAAGAAAAGCTGATAACACCACCGAATGATGAAACAACTACCGATATTCAAGCGGTTATTCGTCATTGTTTGGATAATGTTTTTGACACAAAATTTTAACCACATCGCATTAATAAAGTAGCTGCGTTGTTACGGCCCGAATACAAACAACGAAAATGTAGATCAGAAGAACACATGTGTTGTACATGTGTTTAAACATATTAAAATATTATTAAAATGTTAAAAATTAAAAATTAAAACTGTCACGAAATAAAATGAAAACAGAGACAAGAATAAAACGTCGGGACGAGCACTTCTTATAAAAAAAATGTAAAATTTTTTTTTACCTTTTCTAAATTTTAACAACTCTTTTTCTGACGATTTGGCTGATGATGACCAGGTGTAGTCGAAACCGGTACCATTAATAATAAATAATTCACAAGCAAGTAAGAAGTTTTTTATTAAATTAAACATTTTCCTTTACTTGTAAAGGATGTTGTATACTCGAAAATCCTGAAAGTTCTTCTGCCACAATTTCATCTTCTTGCGACTACCAAGACATAGAACTTCATGCTAATGCGTGGGATTGCAGTGATGCAGAAAATGGCGTACAGTTCTGTGATAAATATAAGGAGATTTATATTGACAACGATAATAATTAGCAGTCACAAGTTAATGTTGAAATGGAGCTGTACAAAGGTGGCCCGGCGGCCACTGACCGAAATGTATTACGATGGTGGCGAAATCATGAAAAATCTTATGTATTCCTGCTTCTAGCGCCTCAAGTATTACTGCACCAATAAATAAATAAGTAATAGCTGTTTAACCGGACTTGACAGTATGAAATAAAATGTTATACGATACACGTCCGGTAGGTCTTGTGACAGTACTCGTCTAGATATTACGGACGAGGCAGTGAAGGAGCCGAGTCTGGAATGACTCGTACTATTACAAGTCACCTACCGGACTTATAACATAAATAACTATTTATAGCGAAATTGGACAATAACGATATCGGTCGATAGTCAGTCATGTTGGTACGTTCGCCATGTTTGAATACAGGAACAAGGCGTGAGCGCTTCCAAAGTTTATGGAAGGAGCAAGTGCTTAAGGATAGGTTAATTATTAAATGAAGCGGAACTGCAAAAACTGCACAGCAATCACGAATGACAAATGCAGGAAGATCATCATCACCAGCAGTAAATTTATTAGGTAACCTTTTTAGGACAAACTAAATACTGGAGGATACGTAGAGTGTAGGGCAAATTTGGGTGTTATTATAGGCGATCTTAGAAAATATAAGAGATACGAAAAAAGTAGGCGCCATGTCCCGGTTTCTTTCTTCGAGACTAATCCAATCCCTCAAATACCAAACCTCTATCTTCTTTTGTTTTTAAGTTATAGCCAACAATTCAAATTTTCGTGATTTCAAAAAATGTTCATATTTCGTTTATTTTTGAAATTAGAGAAATGTGGTTGATACGTTCCTAAGACAGTTTTTAAGAAGGATATACTGCCGTTGAAAAATGTTAAACATACTTGATGATTTTTGAGATACAACACAAAGTTGTATTTTTTTAAATACAAACTATAGTTGATTGTGATGTAACAGAAAAGAGCATATTTTTAGCTTTCCAATGATGTATCTCATGTATGGTGTATTTGCGCAAAATAACCGTTATTTTTCAATTCTAAAGTATTAAGGACTAATAACCAAATTTTTAATTATATTTAGTAGACGAGGAGCAGCTAAGTGAGTGTGACTGGTCGCTGATATATGATCAAACTATGAATGCACAGTTGTGTTATACTGCTTTTCATGATCTACCTACTAATAAGATGCTATAATGATGCTTTCCCAGACATCACAACACAAAGACCAATAAACGACCTTCACCAAAACTGAAACACTACGGACTTATAAGCAGAAAAAAATTATCTGGATGCTTTACATACCGTTATTAAAGTAACTAAGGAAAAGAATCTCATACAAATTTATAAAGAATTAAGAGTGTTGTAAAAAGAGAAGAATAATGAAGCTAAAAAAGAGGCTTATTCTAAATATATAAATAAAGCTGAGAATAATATTAGTGCGGCTTGGAATCTAGTAAAAAAGGAGACAGGCAAGGCAAAGAAATGTGACCAAATTGAAGGACGGCTGAATGCAAATGAGTTAAATACTTTCTTCAGCAGTATAAGCAATTCAATAGTCAATAATGATGTAATGAACTATGTGAACAAATTAACTCCTGCTAATGTCCAATTATCGACCTTTGGTCACTTATTGTTAGAGAGAAAAGATTTTGATAATATAGTTAAGAAATTAAAAGTGAAAAATTTGAAAGACGTCTCGGTAAAATTACTGTTGGATGCAATGCCAGAGATAGAGAAACAGTTATGTTTTTTAATAAACAAAAGTCTGCAATATGGCATTTTTCCATCTGAATTAAAGTGTGCGAAAGTTGTGCCTGTGAAGAAAAAAGGGAACGCCGGCTATCTCAAAAATGTATGAAGTGGCAATATGCAATAAATTGATGCAGTATCTATGCAAAAATCATAGATCATCAATATCAACATGTGATCGACAATAACTGGAATTTTTGAAGTTTTAGAAGAAATAACAAAAGGATTGGATCAGCGCGTTTGATACTGTCAGTCATGAGATATTATTAAGAAAATTAGACAATTACGGTATAAGCTCTATGGCTTTAAAACTAATTACATCGTATCTTCAAAATAGAAAACAACAGGTACACTGAGAGGATCAGTATCGACATGGAAGGAAATTGCTCCGGGTGTTCCTCAAGGTTCTGTGCTTCGCCCACTTTTGTTTTTGACATACATTAATGATATGGATCTAAATGTGGATACACTTTCAATGTGTCTGATGATACGTTTTTCATAAATAGATCTAGAGACCCACAGAAACTGAAACTGAAAACAGTCTCAGTACTAGAGAAAGCGCAAGATTGGTTCAAGGCAAATAATTTGAAGTTAAATCCAGATAAAACAAAGATACTTACATTCTTTAGCTAACCGGATTTAAAAATACAATCTTAGTTTGTATTAACTCCATTTCTCTAATTTCAATAATAAAAGCATTTTTTGAAATTGCTAAAATTTGACTTTTTGGCTGTAACTTAAAAACGAAGAAAGACAACGGTTTGGTCTTTGCGGGATTGGACTAGTCTCGGAAAAAGAGACCGGGACATGGCACTTACTTTTTTCCGTATCTCTTAAAGTTTCTGAGATAGCCTGCCCTATAATAACACCCAAATTTGCCCATCCTGTACATCAACCATGTTGTAAGCAGAGGCACCAGTATATGCTTTAGAGAATTGATCTGCAAAAGCATCAACTATTTTTTTCAGGATCAGTGTAGGTGGACTTATCACACATCATTCTTCTAGGAAGTCGAGAGGTCGTTGTTTTCTGTCTTATATAACTCCAAAAGTTACGGAGATCAGAACTAAGCGATTGTTCAACACTAATAGTAATGGCAGTACATATATGCATCCGAGATTTTCTGTTTAGTCAAACATCTCAGTCTTTTATATTTCGCTGAATAGAAAGCACTATTGCTTCTCCTCCACTCATTCAACTTTAATAGCCGCTTAATTTCTGGGGTGTACCAAATAGGGTATGAGGATCTACGCTATAATCTCTTAGGAATAAATAAATCCAAAATCTCATACAACTTTGTATAGAAAGCTCGCAAAGCATCATCCGCATTAATCTGCAAATGTAGAAAAGACTAATCCGTATAAAGTAGTTCATCATACAAGACAGGAAAGTTGGCTCTTCGAAAATCATAGAAAGTTCGGCAATGATGATCCTCGTAGACGCGGATGGAGTTAAATTAAAGAAGTAAAATAAGTTTCTTATTTTTTTATTGGTACATTACAAGTTTATTCTTAAAAACTAAAACATCTAAAACTAAAAAAAAATAACTACATTCAATTTTAATACTTTTATGAATATAACAACTTAATTTTTTGATTTTTTATTTTAACATTAACGCTTAAATTAATAACTTAAAAGATGGCATTTAATTTTTTTATAAAAATATCCAAAAATCTAATTTTTCGTTCTTACTTTTTGGTTAGTTGACTGGAATTTTTCGGTTTTAATCCATTTATTTGGCGCGAGATTTGTTTAATAAAGAAAAATTAGTATCCTGCTTTTTTGAGGGCCTTTAAATCCACATCCTTGTAGTAGTCTTCGCTGAAATCGGACGAAACAATGAGAATTTCATCCAAAAAAACCTTTTTTTTTGTTAAATTTAAAAACACCATTATCCACAGAAAATGTTAATTTGTAATGATTTATTTACAAAAATTAAATTAAAAAAATAAAAAAAAACAGATAGATAAGAAATAAAATGAATAATACAATAGGAAAAGGTGATTAATTAACAAAAAACCATTTTTTACTTAAAAAATAATTCGTTTATTTCTATTATAAAAAAGAAAATAATTTTGTACCGCATCGACAAATTTACACTCACAAAAATTCAAAAAAAAAATTAAATAATACAGTGTGTTTTCGCATTAAAAGCGACACGCAACACCCTGTATTAAGAGTGAAAATGGGGGAAAGAATCTAATAAAATAATAATTACTACAAATTAATTGTAAGGGTATTACGTGTCGCTAATAATTCATTTTCCGGGATTAATTTTCTTTTTTAAATTTAGTTGGGGGGGATTTTGGGAGGGAAAGTTGGGGATTAGGTGGTGAGGTAGACATTTTTAGTTTGACGCATCTCCGCCGCTACGTGCCGCTGGGGCTGGCCTTGGTTTTCCCGTTTTCGGCGCTCCATTGCCTTTCGATGAACTGCTCTGCAGTCCAGCCAACAGCTCACTCTTTCTTATACTCTTCAAGTCTAAGTCCCCGTAATAATCCTCACTGTGAATAGTTCGTTTTTATTTAGATTTTTTTTATCTTTTTGGTTTAATCATGTATGTACTGTGTGATGTATTTTTTGTTTTCAAATCAAATTTGGTGTAAATGCGGTACAAAGTTTTGAAAGGAAAAAGTTAGTCACAAACCCCAAATAACCGTAAAAAATAACTTACCATCCGGGTACATCTTCTGGATCTTCACAGTTACCGGTTCCTTCGGCATCACCGATTTTGAAAACTGTACCAATTGGACATCCGTATTCTCTGGCTACTCCTTCCAAACAAATGTAGTATTTACGGCAATCATCTGGATGGGCGTGGCGGGAGAATGATCCAGAGTTGCTTACTTCGCCAGGGGCTGGGCAAGAGAAACCTCCAGCTACTTCTAGCAGAAGGAAGAATCAGAAACTATTAACATGATTGATGATGACAATGAAGGGCGGAGTGAAAAGGAAAATAAAGATAATTTTTGGAAGAAAATAGACTAGAAGAGAAATTTGACTTAAAGAGAAGACTATATTGAAATTTTAAAGGTATCTATCTATAAGAAGGTATTTTGATTTAATTCTGATTTATTCTTAATTTTTTAGAGCAATTCTTAGCCAGTGAACCTCATGTGATGCAGTAACAGCCATTAAGTCTTTTGGAATAATTTGGCCATATTAAATTTGAATCTATAGGACGTAATAAAGACCAAAAAATTTTATGGCAGTTATTACTTAATTTTTTTCTTCTGCCTTCTATTTGGCATAAAACCAGAACAAAGAATATGACAAAAGATTGATTAGATTTGCTTTAAATTTGTTTTTATTTCATGTTGATATCTCAAATCGTTCTTGAGATACGATTTATTAATTTGTATTTAATTCAACCCAACCTCAATAATCGTACTTGGTTGAATTAAAAAAATCGTATCATTGGAATTTATAGGAGCGAAGGAAATATTTTTAGTGTGTTGAAACTAGATGAAATTTACTATAAAATGGTGTTTAAATCAACTTGATATCTCAATTAGTTTTTGAGTTATGATTTTTTCAAATTTGATGTTTATCAAATTAAGCGGATATGCAGAAATGCATTAAAAACATCATAACGCCAAAATGTATAGGAATAAAGAAATAATTTTTAACACAATCAAACTTGATTAAATTTACTTTAAAATCGCTTTTGTTTCATGCTGATATCTCAAATCGTTCTTAAGATACGATTTATTAATTTGTATTTTATTGAACCCAACCTCAATAATCGTATTGGGTTGAATTAAAAAAATCGGATCATTTGAATTTATAGGAAGGAAGGAAATATTTTTGGTTTCTTAAAACTAGATGAAATTTACTATAAAATGGTGTTTAAATCATCTTGATATCTCAATTACTTTTTGAGTTATGATTTTTTCAAATTTGATGTTTTTCAATTTAAGCGGATATGTAGAAATGTATTAAAAAAATCATAACGTCAAAATGTATAGGAATAAAGAAATAATTTTTAACACAATAAAACTTGATTAAATTTGCTTTAAAATAGTTTTTGTTTCATGCTGATATCTCAAATCGTTCTTGAGATACGATTTATTAATTTGTATTTAATTCAACCCAACCTCAATAATCGTATTGGGTTGAATTAAAAAAATCGGATCATTGGAATTTATAGGAGGGATGGAAATATTTTTGGAGTGTTGAAACTGGATGAAATTTACTATAAAATGGTATTTAAATCATTTTGATATCTCAATTACTTTTTGAGTTATGATTTTTTCAAATTTGACGTTTTCAATTTAAGCGGATATGCAGAAATGCATTAAAAACATCATAACGCCAAAATGTATAGGAATAAAGAAATAATTTTTAACACAATCAAACTTGATTAAATTTACTTTAAAATCGTTTTTGTTTCATGCTGATATCTCAAATCGTTCTTGAGATACGATTTATTAATTTGTATTTAATTGAACCCAACCTCAATAATCGTATTGGGTTGAATTAAAAAAATCGTATCATTGGAATTTATAGGAGCGAAAGAAATATTTTTGGTGTGTTGAAACTAGATGAAATTTACTATAAAATGGTGTTTAAATCATCTTGATATCTCAATTAGTTTTTGAGTTATGATTTTTTCAAATTTGATGTTTATCAATTTAAGCGGATATGCAGAAATGCATTAAAAACATCATAACGCCAAAATGTATAGGAATAAAGAAATAATTTTTAACACAATCAAACTTGATTAAATTTACTTTAAAATCGTTTTTGTTTCATGCTGATATCTCAAATCGTTCTTGAGATACGATTTATTAATTTGTATTTAATTGAACCCAACCTCAATAATCGTACTGAGTTGAATTAAAAAAATCGTATCATTGGAATTTATAGGAGCGAAGGAAATATTTTTGGTGTATTGAAACTAAATGAAATTTACTATAAAATGGTGTTTAAGTCATGTTGATATCTCAATTACTTTTTGAGTTATGATTTTTTCAAATTTGATGTTTATAAAATTAAGTGGATATGACGTAATTGCCTGCTATGTAGTATTCATATAAATTATCTTTCTGCTCCGAGCACTTTTTGGCAACTATTAGGTAGCAATTCAAAAATCCTAATTGTCTGGAATTTAGACAATAGGAGCAAAAAGGTATTTTGATATTAATTCTGATTTATTCTTAATTTTTTAGAGCAATTAGCCATTAAGAGTCATTTTGCCATATTAAATTTGAATCTATAGAACATAATAAAGACCAAAAAGTTTTATGGCAGTTATTACTTTATTTTTTTCCTCTGCTATCTATTTGGCATAAATAAGTTATAAAAAGCAGAAGAAAGAATAAAACAAAAGGTTTCATCTGGCAACAATTAAGTTAATTGGAGCAAATATGTAGGCTATACAAGCCATTTTGTTTTTGAAGTTTAAGGTTTAAAGGAAGATCTTAGGAATTATATGAAAAAAAGTGAAGAATTTAAATAAAGATAGACTCCAACCACCAAAAACCAAAAAAATTACCTTCGTTTTTACATTCTGGTACTTGATCGGCCCACATACAAACACGAGCTTCTCTGTCATAAGCTAATCCAGGTGAACATTGATACCTGGAAGCTTCTCCATTCCAACAATTCCAGAAAACATCACATTTTTTATCATCGGCGAAAATGCCATAAAGTCGTTCGCAATGCGGCGTAGAAATGGCCGGTTCCAATTGTGTTCTGTCACCACAATCAACATTGTGGATGTAGTCGCAATTTTCTGTTAAATATTTTGGATCACTTGCATCGAATGCCAAACCATTTCCACAAGTTTTTAATTCCGCGGCGTTATTATCGCACTTCCAATATTTGTCGCAGGATGTGTGATGTGGGTAGAAACCGAAATCATCCGGACATTTAAAATTCTCCTGAGAGAATGCTACAAAAAAAATAAGATAAGAAAAAATTAAAATATTTGCTGAAATAAAAAGAAATGCCTATAAAAGTCGATGTTTGTAAAGACTTTCCCTTTTTGTCTTCATTGTTCGATTTAGCAACCGCGAAAAGAAGGCGATATAAACAGGTTCGGGCCCCGTTTTGGGTTGAAGGACCCCGAACTGGGGCACCAAATTCACTCTCGCGACTCTTATGAGACAAGCAAGATGAAAAAAAAGTGTTGTAAGTGTACCGAGAAGGAGAAAATTAAGAAAAAAAAGTGTTCGAGCCGACGAGCCACTTTCCATTTTTAATGGAAATGTCAACCGGTTACCTACCATGAAGAGACGCAATGGAGGAGAATGTTAACTTGTTAATTATATTTTTTCGGGATTAAGTATTAACTATATTAAATTATTTCCAATGAAAATTATCAAACATTTTAAGATGATACCAGATTTTAAATTCTCATACATGAACAATATGATACAAAATGATACAATTTAATATAAGATAACGATATAAGATGCAACAAATACATTGCATCTTATGAAATTATTACTTAAGAGACTTTTTCAAAGAAAACCTTTCAAAACTACAAACATGTTTGCAAAATATTTTAAGGAAGTCCACGAAATTTGCTTTGATGAATTTCAGATTAGAACATGAAGGTGTTTATTATGTAGGTTTTTTGACATTAGTTAGGCATTTAGTTTGCTTTTCGCATGTTTCAACTTCGAGAGTTAAAAACGAGTAGTGTTTACAAAGTGCGTATAATATATTTGCAAGTATGGGTGGTAAAAAAAAAAATGCGAAATTCTTCATATCGTGCAGTGAGACGTATGGTACAATCGTCATATTCTGAAACATCAAAGTGAGAGTGTGACCAATGCAGCCACGAAGTTAAAAATGAGCGAAGATGATTACAACATCAACGTTGATGCAGCATTTGGACCAGGAAAAGCTCCTGGTTTCGATGAAATAAGGGCAGAAACTCTAATGAAAGTCACAGATATCATTGCACCTCCACTATTTGTAATTATAAATAAGTGTTTGGGTGATGGTTACTTTCCAAAGACATTAAAAATTGGAGTAATAAAGAAAATATTTAAGGTTGGTGACATACATCTGACTAAAAACTATCGACCAATAACATTAATTACAACGTTAGTGTAGGTGTTTGAAAAAAATTTAAATCGTAGACTTGTGAAGTTTTTTGATAAAAATAATGTGATTTTACCTAACCAATTTGGCTTTAAAGAAGAATCGACAGAGGACGCAATTTGTGCCTTAATCCGGGAAATATATGAAGTTATAGATGAGAAAATTCCTGCAATGTGTATATTTGTCGATTTATCAAAAGCGTTTGACAGGGGATTTTGCAATGGTCAAAAAATGGTTTCAATTGAACAAATTAACGTTAAATATAGAAAAACTAAATCCTTGTCCTTCGCTTCATATGACAATCATCTGCCAAAATTGGGAAACCTTGTTGATCTGGAAACTTTTATTCCACAAGCGTCATCAGTAAAGTATTTAGTCATAATTATTAATCAACATTTACGCTGGAATTTACAGACTGATAACTTTGTCAAGAAAATCAGAGGACTAACAAGCAGATTTAGCTACCTGTTTTTGGATAAAAGACACCTGAAAGTTGTTTACTACTCCCTTGTGCAATCACTTATGTCATACGCTATTTTGGGTTGGAGAGGGGCAACCTACACTCATTTGGAAAAAATTAATAAAGTACAGAAATGGATATTAAGAATAATGTACAACAAAAATATACATCACCTTCAAATGAGTAATAATATAACATAAGCCAGGTATTAGACACAAGGCAAATATATATCCAGAAAGTATTAATGTATGTACGCAGACATAGGCAGTTAATGAATCAAATGGATCATTCCTATGATACAAGAAACAGGAACATAACTGCAAAACTTCCAAAATGTAATAAAAGAATAGGGCAGCGTAGCCTAAATTACATAGCACCAAAGCTGTATAATGCGGTACCCCCAGAAATAGGAAGATTATTGCATTCTAACCTGAGAGACGCCATTGTGAAAAAACAAATAAAAAACTGGATATTCCACAAGGAACGACGGTTTTTTTCTAAAATGATCAGCACCTAATTCAATTCAATGAGCCCAAAGATTACGATAAATATACCAACCAAGACTGCACCAATAAACTGATTGAAAAACCACATACAAGCGGTAACAATATAAGTATACTGCTTCAGTGGAAAATTTCTACTATATGTTTATTCAGGAATTAGTATTACTTTTTTCTACAGAATTATCCATTCAGAACAACTAAGTTGGAGGAATCACAGTTTCTGGTTATGGAACATAGAAGAAGAGGGGATTTTCATCACAATTTGGTGTAACAACATTGATTGGATGGCGTATGGGTAAAATAGTTGATCTGGAAATAAAGTCAAAAATTTGCAAAAAGTGCAGTTACTGGAATGGTAAAGAAGACATTCAAGAATACCAAGATTGCGTCGAAGATCATAAAGAAAAAAGTGATATAAACCATATCGAATCTTCAGGAAAATGATTTCGTAGGTTTTTTCAACGATCCGAAAAAGCATAATTTGAAGTACTGTTTTTACATAGGAGACGGAGACAGCAAAACTTTCAAAGGTATTATGGACTCCAAACCTTACGAAAATATTAGAGTGACAAAACAAGAATGCATCGAGCATGTGCAAAAGCGAATGGGTTGGGTTTAAAAGGAACAGAAGAAAATTAACGGGGAAATTAATTGATGAACTTTCCATATATTATGGATTGGCTATTCGTAGAAGTCACGATTCCGTAAAGAATATGAAAAAAGACATTGTATCACAAACGTTCAACGGATGAAAATCCACTACACGACAATTGGTGTCGACTCGTGGTGTTCTTGGCAAAAGGCGTATGCTTTGTCACAGATCGACTAGTACACTCACAAGTCAGCAATGGACAAAGATGTTTTCAACGCTGTGAAACTTGTATATGAAGAATTTTCCAGAGAGGATCTTTTGACAAAATGTTTAGGGGGATACACACAAGACAACAATGAAAGTTACAACGCTGTGTTGTGGTCTATGGCACAAAATACGGTTCATAGTGGCAGGAAAGTGGTTGGCATTGTAAATTGAAATAATGCAAGTACTAAAGTTAACAATTGGAAGGTCGTGCTTTCAGTTTTGCTACGAAAAGGATTCACGTCGTATTGCCGTCGTACGCTGAGTATTCCATGACCAATAAGGTTAAAATAGCTTGTAGAAGCTTATTGTCAGACAGATTAGCTGCAGAAAAAGAAAATAACCATCAGGAATGACAAATGTACGGTGCACGAATCTCTGATTAGAGACTTCGAAAGAAAACATAATTTTAAGTCTTTTTCTAAAAGTTATATTTTTCCAATTTCTGCGTATGATAACTCCCACGTTAATTTACTCAAGGGAAGTACGAAGCCGTTTTTCGATGTATCTAAAGTTGTCTCTTTTAAAATCATTGTTACGTATTTTTTTTATCAATATGAGATTTTTGGTCAAATCGGCACCATTTTGCCAAAAATGAATATTTTTTAGACATCTTACGTAGTTCCCTAGTTTTTGAGGTTAGAAAACTAATCGTTCTCGAAATTTGATCATTTGACTTCCGGTTTACTAGAAATCCTGCACACCAATTGACTCTGCACGATTTGCAAGCCTAACATTGCAGACACCTAGCGGGTGAAATTTTAATCACTGTTAATAAATAATATGTTTTTAAAACTAGAAAAGCTGCTTATAAAAACCTCACAACCTGTTTTTAGAAAGCATTTTTCCCCATGCAGCAAAAAAATCTTAAAGTTATCTTGCGACATGATTTTTGCAAATAATTTTTTTTGTATACTTTAAAATTTGAGATCGTTCGACGCAATTACAATGTTATATTTTTAGCCATACTGGAGCTGGATTATAAAATAGTACTCTACCATCTATTAAGATTGAATCAATGTTCAGAAACGATGTTCATCAATCAGTTAATTAGTCATATCGAAGCTTTTCTACTTGCTGAAAAAGTTCTGGATGGGCAAAGCCTAACCATGGGGAAAAAGTTATACAGTAAATTTCACTTAAGATGCAATATACAAAAATATATTTCCATAGAAACCAGGGCGTACCTACTTACTTTGTCCCACGTAAAATGCAATATGTCTGAATGTTTCTAGTTCTAGGTCTAATGTTAGTTCTAGTGACACTGGCAGATAGCGCTAGTTAACATAAGATATTACTATGTTACATACTTGTATTGAATTAAAACTAGAACGAACACAAGACCTAGACCTAGAATCATTCGGGTTTAGCCGTCTTGAGAGACGTGCGGCTAAACCCGAATGTTTCTAGTTCTTGGCCTAGTGTTGGTTCTAGTTTTACACTAGCACTATTACTAGAATTAACACAAAACCTAGAATCATTCGGCCATAAGAATAGAATAAAATCATACACTAGCCGTCTTTTGGGACGTGCGGCTAAACCCGAATGATTCTAGTTCTATGTCGAGTGTTAGTTCTAGTGACAGTATTAAGTGGTGCTATTAAGCACTCGATAGCGCTAAATTGTACATTGTTATTGAACTAAAACTAGAACTAACACTAGGCGTTTTCAGACGCACGGCTAAACCCGAAACTTTCTAGTTCTAGGTCTAGTGTTAGTTCTAGTTTTAACTGTTATGCAGCGTTAGACCAAGAACTAGAATCATTCGGGTTTAGTCGTCTTAAAAGACGTGCGGCTAAATCCGAATGTTTCTTGTTCTCGGTCTAGTGATAGTTCTAGTTTTGCACTAGCACTATCACTAGAAATAACACAAGACCTAGAACTAGAATCATTCGGGTTTAGCCGTCTTTAGAGACGTGCGGCTAAATCCGAATGTTTCCAGTTCTGGGTCTAGTGTTAGTTTTAGTTTTGCACTAGCACTATTACTAGAACTAACACAAAACCTAGAACTGCAATCATTCGGGTTTAGGCGTCTTTAGGGACGTCCGGCTAAATCCGAATGTTTCTAGTTCTTGGTCTAGTGTTAGTTCTAGTTTTGCACTAGAACGAACACAAGACTATCACTAGAATCATTCGAGTTTAGCCGTTCATTGTTCGATTTAGCAACTGCGAAAAGAAGGCAATATAAACAGGTTCGGATCCCGTTTTGGGTTGAAGGACCCCGAACTGGGGCACCAAATTCACTCTCACGGCTCTTATGAGACAAGCAAGATGAAAAAAAGTGTTGTAAGTGTACCAAGAAGGAGAAAATTAAGAAAAAAGTATTCGAGCCGACGAGCCACTTTCCATTTTTAATGGAAATGTCAACCGGTTACCTACCATGAAGAGACGCCTATATTAAATTGTTTATAATGGTATATATTGACATTTTAGTTGGAAATAATAAATTAATTGAAATCGTGTTGAAATTGAAACGGGTTTACATATTGAAAAACTTGTCAAATTATCAAACAAAACAAATTCCAAAATTAATTGGTAAATTAATTAACGCTTTCTTTGGACATGAATGGAAATATTAGCGATAATATTCGATAAATTACAGTTGTTAAAATTATAAAAGCTATACGTCAATACATAGCCTATTTAAACTATGGGTTTAAATGAGTTCGACCTTAATTTTCATTTAAAAGGTCTTATTTGTTCACGTTGTTACCGGTCAATAAATATATCGACATTTGCGCCAGATCTTTAATGAGAAATACACATTATATTCAAATTAGTACAAATTAACCCGGAATTTATTCGGGTTTAGTTGTGAATATAGGGATGCTTTTATTCGTTGACAACCGATTTATTTGATTCTTTTTATTGAATAAATTGAAATAAATATTTATTTTGTTATTCGGGGTATATTTACGATTTAATTTTATTGGAATATTACGATTTAACGGGATTGAATATTAATTATTATTATAAAAGTATATGTTTGATGAATTTATAATAAAATATGTTTATATGTATACATTTTCCTCTAAAAAACTTAATCTCACAGAAATAACCTTCCAAAATTTAGATATTGGGATGAAAGTCACGAATTTTCAACAAATTCTTGGGTAAGGAGTGTTTTGGAAATCTGCTGGGGTTAAGATAATACCAATAATCGTATTGATAGCATTGGCATTTATAGTATGGAAGGAAATACTTTTGGTGTGTCTTGATATCTCCATTACTCTTTGAGTTATGATTTTTTCAAATCTGACGTTAATCAAGTTTAGGGGATATGCAGAAATGCATTAAAAACATCATAACGTCAAAAGTTGTAGGAATAAAGAAATAATTTTTAATACAACAAAAGTTGATTAAATTTGCTTTAAAATCGTTTCTATTTCATGATGATATCTGATATCGTTCTTGAGCTACGATTTATTAATTTGTATTTAATTCAACCCAACCTCAATAATCGTATTGGGTTGAATTAAAAAAATCGTATCATTGGAATTTATAGAAGTGAAGGAAATGTTTTTGGTGTGTTGAAACTAGATGAAATTTGCTATAAAATGGTGTTTAAATCATCTTGATATCTCAATTACTTTTTGAGTTATGATTTTTTCAAATTTGATGTTTATCAAGTTAAGGGGATATGCAGAAATGTATTAAAAAGTCATAACGTCAAAATTTGTAGGATTAAAGAAATAATTTTTAACACAATAAAAGTTGATTAAATTTGCTTTAAAATCGTTTTTGTTTGATGCTGATATCTCAAATCGTTCTTGAGATACGATTTATTAATTTGTGTTTAATTCAACCCAACCTCAATAATCGTGTAGAGTTGAATTAAAAAAATCGTATCGTTGGAATTTATAAGAGCGAAGGAAATATTTTTAGTGTGTTGAAACTAGATGAAATTTGCTATAAAATGGTGTTTAAATCATCTTGATATCTCAATTACTTTTTGAACTGTGATTTTTTCAAATTTGATGTTTATCAAGATAAGAGGATATGCAGAAATGTATTACAAAAATCATAACCTCAAAACTTGTAGGATTAAAGAAATAATTTTGAACACAATAAAAATTGATTAAATTTCCTTTAAAATCGTTTTTATTTCATGCTGATATCTCAAATCGTTCTTGAGATACGATTTATTAATTTGTATTTAATTCAACCCAATCTCAATAATCGTATTGGGTTTAATTAAAAAAATCGTATCATTGGAATTTATAGGAGCGAAGGAAATATTTTTGGTGTATTGAAACTAGATGAAATTTACTATAAAATGGTATTTAAATCATCTTAATATCTCAATTACTTTTTGAGTTATGATTCTTTCAAATTTGATGTTTATCAAGTTAAGGGGATATGCAGAAATGTATTAAAAAAATCATAACGTCAAAACTTGTAGGATTAAAGAAATAATTTTGAACACAATAAAAATTGATTAAATTTCCTTTAAAAGCGTTTTTATTTCATGCAGATATCTCAAATCGTTCTTGAGATACGATTTATTAATTTGTATTTAATTCAACCCAACCTCAATAATCGTATTGGGTTGAATTAAAAAAATCGTATCATTGGAATTTATAGGAGCGAAGGAAATATTTTTGGTGTATTGAAACTAGATGAAATTTACTATAAAATAGTGTTTAAATCATCTTGATATCTCAATTACTTTTTAAGTTATGATTTTTTCTAATTTGATGTTTATCAAGTTTAGGGGATATGCAGAAATGTATTAAAAAAATCATAACGTCAAAATTTGTAGGAATAAAGAAATAATTTTTAACACAATAAAAATTGATTAAATTTCCTTTAAAATCGTTTTTATTTCATGATGATATCTCAAATCGTTCTTGAGATACGGTATTGTCAAATCATATTTGTTTATATTTTTGAGGTTATCTTAATTATAAATAGTTGTAATTGTATAATTATTTGTTTAAAATTAATTCAACAATAAATATTATTTGAAATGTTACTTTTTGGTTATAATATGATAATATTAATATTTGTGAACAAAATAACATAATGGATTCAAAATGTAATTAAATTATTTTTGAAACCTTTCAACAACTATATTCATTGAACATTTGTATTAAAACTATATTATTAAACCATTGACATTTATAAACCAAACACTAATTGAGTAATATCCACTTTACGTAATCGTTTTGCTATTTTACCTGCACATTTCGAATTTATATACATTTCAAAACTAAACCATTTAGTAGTAGTAAACACGATTTTACTCTACTTTCTAGCCTCTAATCACACACTCCAGTTACTACTATAACACTTAACACTTTGATCGATTTAGGTGAAATCTCCCTAAGCAATTAAGGTCATTGGATTGAAAATAAATTAAAAAACAACGACCAATAAATAAACAAGTTTGATTAATTAGTGATAAAAGTAGTTTTTTTAGTTTGTTGTTTAGAGGTAGTACAAATACGGAAATGTCTCGGTTTAGGACAAAATCACGTAGTTTCTAGTTGTAGTTAACATGCTTCACTTGGTTAAGATAAAAACCGGGTTAGTTCTTGCTCCACTTGCTTTGGTGAATGTTAAATGCAACTAACAACTTTGTTTGGAATTAGAAGACAACTAGAAATTTTGCTAGTATTAAAATTAAAGTTTATTAATTATTATATAAAACTTTTTTAAAAGTGCTCCGATTATATAAACTATAAAAGTGTTTAATATTCAATAAGATTCGGTTGAGTAACTATTTTTTTTTGTTGATTATCGTTAAATGTTTTAAGCTTATGTAACGACGATTAATGTGATGAACCAGAAAAAAAGTGAAAGGATTTTTAAGAAGCAAACTGAAATCTATTATAGTTATTTAAATTTGTTCTATTTTTCTCTAAAATGTCCTTGATAATTTTTTTATACCTCACGTTATGATAATTAATTTATAATTACCTTCTTAAGGTGAGTAATCAAGCAAGAAATTCGATTTTTATAATAAACATACATTTTTTTTAATAAAAATTAAATTAATTTCCGTATTTAATGTCCCCATTTCAAACGAGAAATCATCGAAAGTAAAACCATCTGTCGCCTTCCAACCGATGTTTAATGTATAAAGCTTATAATAAAATAAGAAGCTTTCCCCTTATTAAACGATATCCGCAGATGTTTCCATCAAACACTTTTTTCATTCCAGATTTATCCCAATAAATAAATTGAATGAATTTCTAAATCCAAATATTTCAAGCTTAATCTAGAAGTGAACTAGAAAGTTCCACTAAATACTTGGAATAAAACCAGATTTTTCTCACACAACCAAAATAAAATAAAAAAAAACCTTGAAAAAAGAAGCGATTTCCTAGAAAATTGGTTAATTTACTAAAATTGGCAACGACACTTTTTTAATAAGGATATGAACGATTTAACTTGGGAAATGTTGAAAAACAGGAAATCAACTTTGAGTTATTCGATCTGAATTGCTTTCTCTTATGGGATATATTCGTTTTACGCTAAGAAATAAAGTATTAATTCGGTTAGGTAATGTTTTCTTTTAAAACCTCTCACTGCATTCTTTCCACCTATTGTTAAGCTAAGAAAAGCCAAGAAGTGGGTGTGATTCAAGGACCTGACACACCACAGGAAATGCCATTCGTTGGAAAAACCCGTTTTGAAAAAAAAAAAAAATGAAAGGAAAATTCCTTATCAAGCAAAAATAAATCTAATCTTTTTGATGGTACAAATTTTTTTGGTACTCACCAGAAGTGCAAAGAGTTGCTAAAACGACAAGACACGTCACGGACCTCATCTTCTTTCACTAGAAATATAACTATAACTGATTGTCGAGGTGTACTTTCCTTGATTTATACCAAGAGTAAGAAGGTATGAGGTTCCCCACCACCATCGCAAGACACCATCGTTTACCAACGACGACGACGCTCTTTCTTGAAAGCCAAACGACATCGTTTGCTTTTAATCTTTCAACAAATCGATTCACCACGATGAAACGTTAAATTGTAATCATTTTTAATTAGAAATTGAATTAACGTTAATGAAGAGTTTGATGTTTATTCGCTTCCGGTGTTTCCAAGAACGGTGTTATCATTATGAATCGTCTAACGGATGATGACGGGTTTACTTAAATTATTCACTACGGTTTATTTACCCAAAACGGTTTCGTTATGCGATGTGATATTCTGCATGTTAATCGATACTAACGGGATTTATGGTGGGAAGAAAAAATAATTTAATAAGAGTTATTTTGTATTACGTGAGTAGAATTATTGAATTTCTTCTTTGGGCAAAGTTTGCAAGAAAAGTGTTAAAAATCGATTTAGTTAATAATTTAGATAGAAAAGAAAGTTTTCGTGGAGATGTTTTGGATGGTAATTTTCGACAAATTGAAAGGAAGAGTTGAAAGTGTGAGGTAGCATCATTTTTTATTGGTTGTGTTAAAAAACACTAATAATTAATCGATTTCTCCGTCACTGATTAGTGAGGATACATTTTTTTTCTATTTCTCGACACAGCTTTCATTAAGCTGTTATAACACTGCACTGTTATTATTATTTTTTAAAATTTATTGTTCATTCCCAAAAAGACATAAGAGTACATAACAGGTATATAAACAATAAAATATAACAACAACGCAAGAAGAAGTTACATACACACATACATATACAACAAAAAAAAACTTTTCGAAATCAGTTTAGATTAAGATTAAGGTAATAAGTCCTTGCTTCCCCGCAAAGGAGTCCAGACCATTCTGATTCTTCACCCGTTATGGTAAATCATTAAACCACTCCGGCGCTGCTGCTGTAACACTTCTCCCAATGTTTCTTGCAAGGGGCAAGATGTGAACATCTATCTTCTTTAGTTTCAAAAATTTTGAAACTTTGTGACAGAATTAAAACGCTATCAAAATACACTCAGTAAAGGCCTTTGGAATCAATTTTAGCAAAATATGCAATTCCCCCATTCCAGGGGGATAATGGTACTTGAGAGTACCATCCGGCATTAAAATATGGAGAAATATTGAGAAAAAAATGTTGAAATAAAACTTACATTTTTGTATAACCTAAAAGTGACAAAAAAGATGCTAATTTAAAAGTTCCTGAAAGCCGTATTTATTGAAATTAAGGAATGAAACTTATTTTAAATTAAAGCTCAAAGCTTTCTTTTTAAAATGATGTATAATAATCGTTGGGTTGAATTAGATAAATATGAAGAAAAAAAATGTAACAAAAGTTACATTTTTGTATAACCTAAAAGTGTCAAAAATGATGCTAATTTAAAAATTCCTGGCAGCCGTATTTATTGAAATTAAGGAATGAGACTTATTCTAAATTAAAGCTCAAAGCTTCCTCTTTAAAATGATGTATAATAATTGTTGGGTTAGATTGAAAAAATATTGAGAAAAAAAATGTTGAAACAAAACTTACATTTTCGTATAACCTAAAAGTGTCAAAAAAATGCTAATTTAAAAATTTCTGGTAGCTGTGTTTATTGAAATTAGGGAATAAGACTTATTTTAAATTACAGCTCAATGCTTTCTTCTTAAAATGATTTAAAATGAGTGTTTAAAACCAACGGAACTTTAAAGTACCGTCGGGACACAAAGGGTTAAAGCGAATGCCAGTTTTCATTAGATTATTTTTGATTTTATGTATTAGCTTCACACTATCAAGCTTAATCATCTCATGTACATTAAGCACTTTTAACTAACATTATACAATAATGTACTATTTGTGCTATGTGGTTTACAAAAGAGAACCTTTAAAAACTTATTTTGTGTTACTTGTAGCTTGTCAAGATCTTTTTTACGAGCGAGACCCCAAAAAGCGCAAAGATAATTTAACTAAGAGTGAGCATAGGCATAGTAAACAGAAAATCTCGTTTCATTGTTGAAATATTGACCATTACGTTTTAGATGATAGCTTATACCATTTAACTTCTTTTGTATTAATTTTATATGGTATTCAAACGTTATTCTGTTATCTAAGACAATGCCCAAATAGGTACTATTTGTAACTTCACTCAACCTAATACCAGAGATTATAAGTTCATGACTTTTCGTAGTGGCATTTTTATTAAAGATCATATATGTATATTTATCGTTGTTTAATTGTATATTATTTTCATCTACCCAAGAGCAAACATTTTCCATAGACCCGCTGTAGAACAAAACAGCATCATCCGCATACAAGGCAAGATCACCATGCATACAACAATTATTTATATCATTTATATATATTGCAGAGGACCGAAGACAGATCCCTGGAGTACTCCATACTTTATATGAGTCCTGCTGCTAGTAGCATTATTGTAAACAGTGTACTGCTTTCTATTTCTTAAATAATTTTTGAAAATTCTCAGTTATGGTCTCTGAACTCCCAAAGCTTCGAGCTTACTAAGTAGTATAGCATGGTCAATCACATCAAACGCCTTACACAAGTCCCGGAAAACAGCCAAAACGGTTTTGTTCTCCTTGAGATTTCTATAAACAAATTCCAACAATGATATAATAGCAGTCTGTGTGCTCTTACCGCCTATGAAACCATGCTGCTTACAAGTTTGGAAACCAATCGTATTCAAATGGGACAACAGTCTACTTTTTAAAATTGATTCAAATATTTTGGCAAAAACCGACAGCTTAGATATTGGTCCATAGTTCTCGGGAAAGGTTTTTGAGCCTTTTTTATGCACTGGAGTTTTTCTTCCTATCTTTAGGATATCGGGAAACTGACCAAGTTTTATTTCTCTTTGATAATACTTGATAGAACTGGTGACAAACCTCCTTTCAGTACTTTCACCGCTTTTGGTTTTATACCGTCATCACCTGGTGCTGCATTGTTTTTTATATTATCAATTATACGCTCAATTTCATCTGCAGTTGTAGGCTTAATGTACATTGAGGAATCTATCCCATAATCCAAGCTGCCATTGGCGGCCGGCTTTCCCGCAAGCAACCTGTCTACACTGAAGGTGAAGTGATCATTCAGAACATTAGAAATTTTCCTAGGATCCACTGCCTCTCCGTTACTGCTTATAATCTTAGGAATCCGTTAATTTTCTATATCAATCGACAGGGCATTTTTAATAATACACCACTGCTTTCTCCAGCATCCATCAGTATTCTGAAATTTTTTTATCCATATGTTCCTTCTAATAAAGTTTTTGACTTCTTTCCGTAATTTGACACAATGACACCAGTATAATTCACTTCCAGGAAAACGCTTCGTCCTAATATACGCTTTATCTCTTTCTTTTATTTTATTTTTGACTGCTGTAGTGAACCATGTTAATGTTAATGTTTTCGGATTGTTTAGAGTTAAATACAATTTCAACATTTTGCTTTAAGGCATCGTAGTTTACTATTTTTGATTCATAGCATTGCTTTGTTATCTTAGTCATTATATCTATTGTAAGTTTTATGTCTATCAATTTATGGTCAGAGACAAAATGCTGTTTAAAGTTAGTAAAAATATGATCCAATACAGATTTTGTTCCTGTTCGCTGATCAATTCTAGTGGGATTTAATTCACTTACTTTGTTCAAAATTTTATACCCATTAGTTTTGAATGTTTCCATGTAGTCTAAGCAGTTATTATTATTCTCCTATAAACATATATTAAAATCCCCAATATTATAGTGAATTATTTACATGTAGTGTACTTTCCAATGTTCTCATAAATGAGTTATATAGACTCGTAGGCTGTTTGTACACACCAAAAACATTAACATTTAATTGCATAATTTCAATACCCAGAATATTATTTCCTTTCGCTGCAAAACCTTACAATCATAATTTGTTTTAGTAAATATCGATACGCCACCCTCTATCCCTTCTATAGACATGCATCCCATTATATCCTGCAAAATTTATAGCAACCGATTCATCCTCATAAAGCCAAGATTCCAAGAGCACCTCATCAACTTCATCAAGCTTGTATTGATATCTAGAAAGACTAACGCTATGGAACCAAAACTTGAATTAGCAAAAATATCAAATACAAACATTTAACAAGTTAAACATTACAATTTTGCACAAACTTTTTTCACAGAGTACACTGTTGCCTTGTCTTTCTGTCACGTTTTCTGCAGCAGAGATAACAACGGTCTTGTACTTTTGTTGTAGTTGCTGTTATGTTTATAATGGGTTGGTTACATTGTACTTCTGGTACAACTTGTATCATAAGCTCCTTTAGTTCATAGACAATACGCCTATAGTTGCTCGCCTGCATAAGATCTTGGCGAAAGACCATAACACTGATCTGAGGCCACCTATGCAAACAAGACGGAAAATACACTAACCCACTCCACCCTAGCCAACATGGTTACCAGAAAGCAAAATCAACAATTACCGCTCTCCATGCTTTGACTAGCACTTTAGAGGAGACAATTGCAACCAAAGAAATAGCCCTATGTGTTTTCATAGACATAGAGGGTGCTTTTGACACTTCCTACAAATCCATAGAGAATGCTCTAAACGTAAAAGATATACATCCGTCGACAATCAAATGATGTATAGCCATGTTGAAAAGTCGGCAGATCACAGCCAGTCAGAGAGGCGAATCGTTAACTATTAAGGCGCTAAGAGGATATCCCCAAGGGGGAGTGCTTTCATCTCTCCTATAGTGCCTGGTAGTTGATGACTTGATGAACACCTCAAAAAAATATGGATTCATGATTCAAGGGTATGTTGATGGCCTGGTAAATATGACACAATCATAACTCAGCTAATGCAGAAAGCCCTAGCACTCATCAGCACTTGGTGCAGAAGCAATGGACTCAGCATCAATCCAAACAAAATCGAAATAGTCCCTTCACTCGGAGAAGAAAGCTTCAATTGAGAGCACCCTCCAT